CTTCGGCCTAAAGCGATTTTTTGTCTATAAGAGAGGGTGATGTCAGACATTCCCTCTCGACCCACCCAGAATAAGAGCAGTCATTTGATAATTTTAAGATTTCAATATCAAACCTATTAAAAATAGGATTTCAATAACAATAACAGCATACAATAGAATATTAAAAATAAAACAAATGTTTTACAACAGGATTTGGACTACGTCTACCTTAGTTAGTGTAACAGAATATAATCAATATCCTAGGTGAGAGGAATATTAACTGATGGCATTTGTATGACGAGGCCATCAAGTACGACTCACGACGGACGTGACAAACGGAAACGGTCTTTTTACAAATGAGACCGTATTTAATATGTCCTGCACTACCTAATATACATTGTAATTTTATTGAGACAACTTATATAATATAATATGTATTAATATGTTACCTCCGATTGAGATTAGGTTTGCTAATCTTATCTGTTACATACCTGCGTCCGTTTTTTCTAGTTATACTTTAAATCTTATTAGTTACCTAAGTATTAGTGTGTAAGTATCTAATAAAAGAGATAGTACTGACTGAAACCCTTCAAATAATTTCTAGTATTATTAACTTCATATAAAAAACTAGCGACCCACTCCACTATTACAATAAAACGTCATATTAAATCACACTATCTATGAAACAAAATCGCATCAAAACCCATTGAGTAGTTGTTAATATGCGGGGATACATAGGGATATAGGGATAGAGAAAGCGACTTTGTTTTATATACCTATACCTATATTTAGAACAATAACCCTCTCGCGTGAATGCGGCAGAGAGTATCAGCCTCTCACTAACTAAAAGCCATCCCGATCCGCTTGCACCCACTAAATTCTAACAAATCTAACAATTATTATTAACATATCTTTTCAAAAACCATTAGCTGTCTCCTTATCATTCGATTATCATGATCATGAATAAACATTAAAAAAAACCATTACAGACGAGATGGATCAATTAAGCATATAGATAAAATGAACATATATTGATGTAGCTGGAAGGCAGAAAGCCGATAGAAAGTGGCTATTCGCTCCACAAAACGGCAATATCCTAAAATAATTGACCAAGTTTATGAATACACGTAATTAAATTAATAGTTGTAATGTAGCTGTGTATAACATTTATTTTGCGGAAAGTTGTTCGGTTGTTATGTAACATTTGACAGGTGGTTGATAGATCGCGCCTATCTCCAAGTTGTTGACAAGACAAGTGGTGATGTCGGAGAGTCTACTTCATTATTGGTGTAACTTTTTATTACACTTTTCCTTAACGCAATTTACTGACATCTGACCATAGAATAGAAACTGGAATTGAACCAGGCATTTGATAATATAATATGTACCTTGTAACCAAAAATAAACGGTAAAGTTTGTGTAGGTAATAGGTATGTTTAGTTTTGTTGCCAATAGCTTACCTACATCACACTAGCACCAAATAATATTATAACATTTTTAATTAAATTTTGATCTAAATACATACTAGATACATTGCCTAGCAGTTAACGAGGTTTTTGCTGTGAAACTAATATATTAGCATACACGATCATAATATAATATTAGTTACCTACATACATACTCATAACGCCTGTGTTTAAACCATGTATCATTTAAGCACAGCCCATTAATATTTACGATAGGCAAGAACAAGACTTTAAATTCGAAAGGATATGAGACCAACTATGTGAAGTAACGGTGTTATGTTGTAATATTATTCGATAAAATATTTATGATCATAATTATTTCTTTAACCCATACATTTATACATGAAATATGCCAAGTGCGTGTCTAACTGTCCACGTTTACAGGGTTAACCTTATCTGTGGCATGTTTTTTCGCGCCAATTGAAATGTCATAAAATATTTCCAACTAGCTTTATGATTGCCGAACCATAGACTAGACTAAAAATATAATTACTCGCCTCTTTGAAGGAATTCTATTGATATCTGTGTCAGTAATGTGGTGCTTTCGTAATTAACTAGCATTTAGTTTTGGATAATTATTTTTAACTAGTTCTAGGCTTGAAAGTTTAACAGCTAACTTGTTAGCCTAGACTATTAATTATATTTTAATGTTGCTTCACATGAATGTACGTCTTTACATATTTCGAAATTTAAAAACTAAGATTCGAAACGATGTTCTAATTTGACTTACCAAATAACCACTGCAATTAATATTAAATATTTTTGAAATACGCGTTGCACTTGCTTCTGTAATAAAGCGCATGCGTTTTGGATCACTTGCATAATTGCTGCATCACGGTTAAATTAAAACTTAACGGATTACAGATAGTTGCCAGGATTTTGTCCATACTTTGTTTATGTTAAAACAAATGACAATACAAAATATTCTATTCTATTGTTACCATTTTCAGTTTCAAATCAGCATAAAATAAAAATATTTACAAGGTCCCATAGTTTTTTTATGTAATAGGTCGACAAACGAGCAGACGGATTACCTGATGGTAAGCAATCAGCGCCGCCCATGGACACTCGCGACGGAGGAGTTACGAGTGCGTTGTCGACCTTTTAGGGATTAGGGATTTGGAGATTTAGGGATTGAGGAGGGATTGGGGGCGGGGAAGGATTGGGCCTCCGGTAACCTCACTCACACAGCGAAACACAACGCTGTGGTTATTTCACGCCGGTTTTCTGTGAGGCCGTGGTATCACCCACCATTTCGTGACGACCCATTCGTGCCGAAGCATGGCTCTCCCACACACTTTTTTCTCAGCCATAGTCTCATAATAACTATCAAAACCTGTCAAAGGAGATCGTGTTACGAACCAACTTTATGCATATACATCTTCATTTAACACCATCAAATAAGTTACGACCCTAATCTCAAACCATATGGAAGTGTCAAGAGGATCATTAGTCACTTGCACTGACAAGTCAATACTGGGTGGTCAGACCATCATTGGCCAAGCTTTCACTACACAAAATATACTAAAGCATAAAACAACAAGCACATCAAGCTATCTATCTGTTATTGAGAAATTGATTCAATAAATATTCAACCTTATTTATGAAGGCATAGCGTTGAAAACCCATTGTAAAGTTAATGCATACAGTAATATGTAGCAAGTTTGACAGTCTCTAGATACAAATAGGCACTCTATTGCTCCCTAACAAGTTGCTAGTAGTATTATGTAGACGTGAGACAGGTGTGTAGTGACCTAAAGGTTAAGTAGCCGCTCTCGAGCATGAGGAAGCGAGTTCAGGTGTTAGAGATACTTTCATTTATCTCGATCTTAACAAATGTGTGATTAAGCAAAAGATAGTTAAGTATACTGGTTTTGTAATAACAGATAAATAAGCAAAATCCTAGTGGTATAAACCAAGATTTTGTCGTTAAAATTTTATAATAAATCCCGCCCCGGCTTCGCACGGTTGCAATGGTTGCTGGTACTGAAGTTCTCCACTATTTAATGTATGTTATTATACATATAAAACTTCCTCTTCAGTTACATTATCAATTAAAAAAACGCATCAAAATCCGATGCGTAGTTTTAAAGATTGAAGTATTCTTAGGGATATAGGGGCAGAGAATGCGACTTTGTTTTATACTATGTAGTGATGATATATTATTAAATTTTTTAACCATAAGTATACAAATCCCTATTGATGTAGTGAACAAAATTATTAACAACCTAGACATAACAACAATAAAATCGTCCAAACTTATAAAAAAAATATGAAAATTAAACTTTTAATTTGAAATACTAAACCTTTATAGGATCAAACTTTTATTTAACTATGCAAAAATATCGAGTTCACAAGTAAAATTTTTTGCAAATTTATCTCCTAACATTCGAGAAAAACTTTCAACACGTAATTGGAATTTTCCTAATAAACATTAAGTATGTACTTACGTAGTGTGGCAACTTATAACGCACAAGGACGTACACTATGTCTAAACATTAGACAGCTTGTTATATAAAGTTACAATCGATACAGGTTGCAATATTGTTTGTCTCCATCGGATTGATCTTAGGGTTATAGGTTCTATTTAATATCATATAATTATATTTTTTTACACCTGCAAAACCACAGTAATTACGAGTGGATTGCCGGCCTTTTGAGGATCAGGGTTTCGGCTATTCAAAGATTGGGGAGAGATGTGGGGAGGGGAAGGTTTTGGTATATTTTTATTAATTCAGCTTCCCATATTTATGATTAATTATTTAATATTAATGAAAATAAATCACTATTTCTTTTTATGTTTAAAAGTTATATCCTAAAATTGATTACAAACTAAGCTCTATAATCAATAGTTTCTCGGAGTTGCCACTTTAAAAAGGCAAGTGTTAGTTAACGGTACCTTCGTTAAATATAAAACGTATCATAACATTATAAATAGAATAATATTAACAACAGTTTTATACTGGTTTCAACAATATTTCTACCTTTAATCAATTTCAATAATACGTAATATACTCTATAATTAACTCACAATTATGCATATTACAATGTGTTATGCAGTTTTAAACACATAAAAATGCTCATAATGACCCCGTTTAGGTACCGAAATGACCGGTAGCTGGCGCCCGCGTCGGATTACGATGAAACGATAATTTTTAAATCGAATCCCATGTAACCGATTCTATTCAATTACGTTTTCGAAATTTCTTAAGAAAATTGATTTTCGAACACAAACAACAATGGTTAGAAATCGATTTGGAAAGAAATACCAATTAGGTACGTCTTTTAAACATCGGTGTTAATATATAGTGAAAACGAATTAACCATATTTAATTATTACAAACGTTTAGTCTCCAAGTCCGTAAATAAATGGTTATTTTTAGAAACAAATATAAAAGAAATAAAAGTTTCTGTAGGTATCTGAAATTGAAATCTATCATAATTATACAGGTTACTTCGATCTTCCATTACAAAACTGATTTATAACTTCTGTTCTAATCACCTAGACAAGATGTTTTCGACATGGTAAATATAAATTGTTATTCTTCTTTCCAGGATATTAATAGCAGCTTTATGCTGCGCGTACGCAGCTGCGTTGTCGCCGATTGCCCCTCCGAATGTTTTGGGCGACAGCAGCGAGTGTGCGCTTTACCTCAACGGACCTGCGCGATCCACAGCCTACGACTACAGCATCAACCTACTCAAGGGCAACTTGTAAGTACCCTGCTTTGTCAATACTTTAACACTTTTCTCTTGAGAATAACGCAATACCTGATATTTCAATCGTTTAATTATTGCAATATTCAAGCCAGAAGTACTGTTGACATCGAGTGACAATCAAGGTAAAGTGACGAAAAAGTAGCCCTTTGTAGGTTCACTTAAATTTAGGTTAGATTTCATTTACCGAATGAGCAATAATAAAAGTAAAAATGCCGCTACTGTAATGTAACTAAGAGATTAATAAATCTACCGTTGAGTTATAGTACAAGATTACAAAATATAACAAGGAAAATTTTGTTTAAAGACAAAACATGAATATCGCCCTAGGGAGACACGTTCAATGTTTTGTTAGTGTAACAATATTGTATAATTAATTCATAACCTACATTATAATATGTACTACATAGAATAATTTTATTCCGTATAACAAATATAGAATATTTCTCAACATATGTATATTAACATTAACGATGATAGATAGCTCTATTGCATGGCTATTAGGTCGCTTAAGTAAGCGGCAGTACGCATACAAGTTGTTGAACAGGGCCGCATCGTGTAGGGTAGGTGGGCCGCAGGTGGGGCCATTGATCAGAGTTGTGGGTGCAAGCACAATAATGTACCTAATGCGGCCCTGGATTAGAGCAGGAGAAGGAATTGCTATTTCTAAGTCAGTCTCTGTCTGGAACTCCCTACTGCTTATTGCATTTACCTTACAACCGCGGCTGAACATCAGCTCCACGATCAGCCCTATAGGGCCCCGTCTGTGGCTGTGTCTACAAGCTCTATGAGGCACACGCAGAACTCTACGCGCTGTACGCTCGGGTATGGATCTGTTCGAGCTTTATAAGTATGTTCAAATGTGTCAAATGGCTTCTTGTAAAATGCGAGACTTTAGCTTGAATAAAGATTTTCAATATTTAACTTCTTTAAGGAAATATTTATTTTGAAAATCTCTGTCGTAAGTTATAGTATTGAAATATTATAGTATTGTGTACTCATAAGACCGAAATGAGGCACAAAAACATACCTATAAGCACGTAATAAGGCTAGACCGACATATTGTCAATTTAAATTGCTTGAAAATTACCATTTCTATACATAATGTATATTGGCTTAACTTAAACGTCGGCTCAAACGTCTTTCAATCAGCTTTTGAAAAGTAGGTTCCATAATAATGTCATAGTTAATTGATTTATCGCTTTGAAATAACATAATCTAATGAAGCTTAGTTAAATTATTAAAAAAGTGGTTTCCTTTGTTTAGTTATAGAATCATGGCGGTTTTTTAGAGGGGAAAATCTTCATTTGACTGCGCTCGCTCTTGATAAGGCGAGAGGAAGTGTCAGACTCAAAATTACCCCGTTCCTTCTCCTGCCGCGGTTCAATATTGCGCTGGAACCACAATCATGGTACTCTAATAGTTGTATAAACATAGCTGCCGATAGTTTTAAAGTATCCAATACACACATATCATTTTTCCCTTCGAAGCATTCCTCTTTAAAATTATTAAAATTCGTTGCAGTCAACACAAATGAATAAGTAGTAGTACAAAATCAAATTCATTTATAAAGGCTTCTTCATGTATGAATGAATTTTAACTATTACGTAGATTGATGAGTAAAAGCCTGTAGCCAACACATTGTATCAAATTACCTTTAGAATGTCAATTTCACTGTCACTTGTCCCATTGAACACGCATCGAGTGTCACGCTTTCGCGACTACGGAGACTTTATTTATAAGATCTGGTATTGAATAAGCATTTTAATTTATCAATACAGATTGTACTTAGATTTATATGAGGAGAATTCATTCAGCCAACTAAGGACTGGGTCCTTATTTTTATTTTGTAGTAATTACAGTTCGTACGAAAAGTGATCAGTTTCTTCCATAAAACAGTTTGAAAAACTACTCTATTTCATAGCCAATTAATTACAAATAATGTTATTGTTTGACTCTTCCCGTTTAATAATATATTAGTCTACCATATACAAGTAACCAGCTGGTGCATGTATTGTGTATTCGAAACTGTATTGTGCAAAAATTTTAAAATGGGAAACATCTTTTTTTTCATCTAAAATAGTCAAAATTCTGTTAGACTTTTTCATAAGTCTTACAGACTTTAGCTGCAGTACATACAGGTATCAGTGGCAATGTCACCTCACTTGGTTGCGCGGGAATATCTTTACCGTCTTCATTACGTCACGCGCCGGTGCAAACTTGACACACTTCCGTCTGCGTCTGCGACACACTTGACACTCACTTATCTTTCTCTACGATACGTGACAAATGATCTGGCAAATAATATCCGATCAACTGGTAATTATTAGTAAAGTCATTGACCTTTAAGGAGTATATTAGTATTAGTAGCTTTGTCTTTGTTATTTTATTCTTGTTTATTATATTGTTGAGCTTTGTTTTTGGTAAACGTTACACAATTGGATGCAAAATGGCGATCTAATTTCACTTTTTTTACCCGAGTTCTTCAGTTCAGTTCTTTGACATAAGACTTCTAGACAAAACTGTTTCTTTTTTGTATGTGTGTAACTATCATCACCCCAAACCCGAAGTTAATTAATATAATTTAAGTGTTATCTATACTTCGTCCTAAGCAAGTGATAGTCGTAGTACTTAACTAGACTCTAGGAAGCACACCTAGTAGATAAAAAGTGAATGTTTCACTTTTTATCTACATTACTAAAAGAAACAATAGATGCTTTCTAAAGAACAATGCTTAAAGATTGGAACAACATATTACGAGAAGAGTAACCAGTCCAATCTACAATAATTATAGCAAAACGTATAATCTTTTGTTGTCCGTACACAACCTACTCGGTCGTTTGACCTCTGATGGCGTAACAGCACGCAGATCTCCAATGCTTTCATCTCTACGAACCGTAGCATTAGCTAACTGACAGATCACATTCACTTTCAAAATCCTTTCGCTTAATTTGTTCGTACCTTTAGTACGGTTACGCCAAAACGATGTATCTCATCACCATGGCAACGCTCCGTTAAAGTAAATTACAGTAGACGAACTTTACTAGTTACAATGACCCTTTCAAAAGGCGTTTCTACCAAAAATAATTAATGGACGTACGATGTTTTGTTCTCTTAAACAATCCGCGCTCGTTAATGTTGAATAACTCCATGTGCTTATGTACAAATAAGGTTGTATGTGTAACCTTCGGTTTGATTACTCTTAACGGGATTTATGGTCGAAGCCATTCGAAGAAGAATTCAATCAACAGAAATTATGAACAATATAAAATAATTAACTGCAATAAACCCTTCTTGGTATTGGTAAATGATGAAAAACTGACATATTTAAAACTACAGAAGCAACCTTACTTAAAAGCTTATTTCATAAGAATAAATGTAAATATTTTGTCTGTCTATCTAGACAAGTATCACCTAATACAAAGTTAAATAGGAGTTCTAATGCCTACACAATCGTCGCTTGTCGTCAATCACGCACGAACACATAGATCATCGCAAACATTGACAAGCACTGCGTCCGTATAACGGTGTGACCTGTTCCCAGTACCTCCTCAGTTTGTCTAGCACTCGGCCACCTCTTGACAATATCGAGGCAAAACGGTAAACCAATCGCGAACCCATCATAATCACTGCTAAGCGAAAAAGCAATCAAAATACCGAAGATATTTTATCGATTCTAAGAACGAAGAGGCATCTCACATTACCGGCTCGATTACGTGTTTTAAATTCTTTTGTTAGAAGATGTCATATTTAAGGCGTTAGAAATACGTGGGTAGACTTTACTGACTGTGTTTGTAAAAATATAGGTATATGTTAAAATCATCAATTTTTTTTGTAGTTTTGGAAAATAGCTTATATCTATAATCTTGGGTGCAAAAATGGTTGAAGTTCGCATTATATTTATATCTTCATAACGTTTGTAGCGTGTTTGGTAAAAACACATATTTCACATGCACGTCACATCGGACCAAAACGGAAACACAATTAGGAAACGCAAAAAGTGAAATCGGATTACAAAGTATCCTTAGAATTATTAAGTTCAAAACTCGAATAATAATAAATCAAAACCTTGATTATTTATATTGCCACTGGGAATATCCCACTAGAGTAAGTCTGCCATCCGTCCGCGTTTCTCCGAATTAGTCCAAGTTTAGAAGACATACGGAGTATCTGTGTACAACTTGGATAAATAAACTGAGAACCTCCCTTTTTCAAAGTCGATTAATATGTATACTACAGTCTTCTACTAAGTGTAGCTAATACTTCTCTAAAATCCTCATCCAAATACATTCAACTTATCAGGATTACACATAGTACTTATGCAGGTCAAACTAAAAGCTCCTCTTTATTCTGAAATTGGTTAAAAATATTGAAAGTTTTTAGATTAAGTCCAAAGTCCGTGAAATTTACGCTTTTCTCTGTTATAGATATATATATATATATATATATATATATATATATATATATATATATATATATATATGTGTGTACTAGAGTAACCAGTTAAAAAATTACTTACGCACATCCAATATTATTTTAGATCAAGAAATATGCACACTGCACTACGAGTGGGCGAGATTGTGAAAGATTAGTGGGTTCAAATATTTAAATTCAGTTTTTTTACCACACAACCTGACAGTATTTAGCCTAAGGCTACACACTGAATGTAGGCAGATACTTAAAGCATATAGACAGCTTGGTGCCAACTGTGGATAGTCTGATTTAATTTACTTTCTACTTTCGTATCAATTCTTGATAGTCAATAATTCAGATAGCCACATCCCGTCTAAAATGCTTAAATTAATTATATTTTGTAGCACTCAGGAATATTGTAGTCATCTATCTATTGCGGTTCTAAAGAATACCCCCTAAATTCAATCATACAAATTTTATCTCTTGATAATATTATATAGATAAATATATCTATTAATTTAAACTAGAAGCCCCAAGTAAAGAAACTTAGACCTTAACTCAACGCAACCCAACAAATGCAAAACAAAATCTATGTATGCAAACATTGAATTGTTTACTCCACGTTATTACAAGAGCACACAAGAAGTTGCCCAGTCATTTACCAATCAGGGGGCGTATTACAACCTTTTTAAAATCCAGTTTGTTTCCTGGCAGGTCAGTATAAGGCCGTAAACTGCATGGTTCTTTTTCGTATTATGACGTACGTTTTTCTGACTAGATTCATCCTGGATGATTGTCTGTGGTTGGTTTGCACCGTCTTGAAAGATTGCGTTCGAAAACATCTTAAAAGGGTTACTGGTATATTACGGTTTTTGAAAATTGAATGTAATAAATTATATAATGTAATTTTCTAACAGAATCGAGATTAAGAATGAGTTCAAAAACGAATTATGTATTATATGCGTAAGTACAATGTCATAAATATGAAAATACAGCACTGTCTCACAACATACATTTTTGACATACGCTACATTTCTGAACGTAAGTAATGGTAAGTAGGATAGGTGATAACAGCTCACCCGGCAAAAATAAAAGTTTTTTGTTATAATAAGGGTTTTCTAACTAATGAAGTCCATTTATTTTTTTTAAAAAGAAGAAGAACTAAAACTGCTTTTCTTTGTTGAGCAAAGGAATCCGTTTACAGGATCCCTGTTATAAAGTTGTTTATAAATATTGTCTACTCGATAATGGTGTAAGTATTACCTACATTATTTATAATAAAATAAATTCAACATCTTCAATCGCAAAAGGGTCACTAAGATCTCGAAGACGCGTCCTCTGAATTTTTGTTTGGTGGTTATCTTGTGACGCATCTCTTTTAAGAAACTCGAAGATTATTAACTCATCACACATATTTAATGTTGTAGTAAACAGTATGTGATAAAAACTTAAAACAATTCAGTAAAAGCTACTCGACACCGGCGTAAACTGACTGGTTTGTTTGACACAATTTTTGACATTTGAGCAAGCTAAGAAATATCAGTTTGGTGGTCATAATACGGGTTTGCCAGCCAATATACGTGCAGAAATCGGTCAAGTGTCACGTGACTGCTAACTGACTGGCAATAAGACGTCATAATACAGATAAACAAGGCAGTTCATTTTAAGGTGTAAATTGACTGGAATTAAGAGATCGTAATACGCCCCCTGGTTAACAAAACACACCTTAAACAACCGTTAAACAAACATCTTAATATTCGCGTATAGCAGAACTAGCGTAACAGCTTCATAGGTCTGTTGCAATGTGAAACATAAGTATTTGTACCCAGTGGCTTAGTAGAAAGGCATTATTTTTTGTCAGGGGAAAATCATCAAATGACTTCTCCCGCCCAGGGTAAGGCGAGAGAGAGTGTCAGACTCTTACTGACTAAAAACACTCACGTTCCTTCTCCTGCTCTAGGCTACACGAGGCGAGACTGTCTAAAGTTGCTGTCCCTGAGGTTCATTTCTTTTTCGGATCCTTTGGTTAAACACTAGTGTTACACTGTTCTCACATAATGGAACTATCTAAATGATTTATTATAACTAACAATGCATTGTAAAAAGTGATTGAAAAAGAGTAACCATGGAGTTTCTTGCTCGTTCTTCTCCATAGGAATCTACACTTTGGAACGAGCAAATAGCTTCACTAAAGGACAGACGGACAGACTGACACATATAAAGTTAAACCTTATGATATCTTTTTTTCTTGACGTTCAAAAGTGCCTTTTGTGGTCTATTTGAAATAAAGAATCTGATTTGATTTTTTTTTGATTAGGCCGAGGCCGCGGTGCTTTTTTGTACTTGCCCCGCAATCCCGCAGCTAACTACGTAACCCCAGCTATAGTAGATAGGCTTAATGATGAGATTCAAAGAGTCTCAGTAAACTGTATCGTGGACGGTTAGACGTGGGAACATCTCATTTGGTAACCGCTAACTACCGTCAATACGTGCTAACATGTCGCTATTACCACACAATATTAAACAAGACTATAATTAAATGGTGTCAACATTCGTAGATTACGGTTTACGATGCTCTTTAGAATGGAGTATAAAATATTTTAATGTTATAAACCATCTCTTGAGGAAACTTATTGCCGACGGTGATCACACGATCTTAAGTTTATAGCCTTTATTTTCTGTGGAGAATGCTGTGAATTTATGTTTTCGTTTGGTAATGTAATCAATAGTCTATACGCGCCCGCTAATAAATAGGTAGGTTGGTATGGTTACTGTTGGAAATATCATGAAAAATTTTAAGCGCAATTTTAAATTTCTTGAACTATTTCAAGAAATTTAAAATTAGGTAAAGGTTAAAATATGTTTACAGCTATTAAAATGGTTACCGAGTAAACATACCTACTTTATCTATACTAATAATATAAAGAGACAAAATTTGTAAGTTTGTATGTAGGAGGTAACCTTTGGAACCGCTGGTCGGATTGCCAAAATTCTTTCACTGATAGATAGCTACAAGCTTGTGGGTGATATAAGTGACTTAAAATTATATCATCTACAGAACTAGAATCATCTACAAAGAAAGTTATTTTCTAATAGATACAATAGGAATTTGTAGCCCGACATAACAGTTCAGACGACATCACAAACATAATATGTATAATTATGTAAATATATTCAGTCTATCGACACGAAACCACGGTACAAATCTGTGAGAATAATAAAAAATACGACTATCTGTATTCATAGTGATCCCACGAATACAGATGGTTCCGTTTATTGTATATTTTATATTTTATTGTTAACCAAAATACTAACCAAAACTTTTTGTGCCAGCATAACAAAAACAGCCTTGTCCATTGAGCTAAAATTATGAAATATTTGTATTTGGAATTGTGCCTAGTATTTATATACATAAATATGTTTCCAGCCAGATAAACGGGAATTTGTCAAAGTACATTCATCTATAAGTAACGTGTTTGGTTGCATTTATTTATTTATTTCCTTAAAAAACTTGCATATACATATACAACATTACAGTGGACGCCATTAAGTTACACTGTTAATTTTATATAAATATATACAAAACGGTTTTTTTTTTCATTTTAACTAGTTTTGCAAAATTTTATAAAATAATTTATTTCTGTAAGTTTACGCACCGATAAGCTTTTGATTCGTCTCTCAGTCTGTCTTACAGCACGGCTATTTACTCATTCTAAAATGTAACTAGTCATATGAAGAAGAACGAGTAAGTAACTTCATCATTATATTCAAAATCAAAACATTAATTTCAACTGAACTATATACGGATAACTTCCAAAAGTAAAAAAAAAATGAATAGTCTATAACTGGACTATCTAGCTTCCAATATCTAACTATCAAGCTTAATAATTACAAAAAACATAGTAGAGGTACAATTTTCTTTAGGTAAAATATTGTAAGTACTTACAATATTTTACCTAAAGAAATCAAGACATCTAAGGTATCAAAAAAACTTTTTTGGCTGTGCTGGATAACATTCCGATTTCCATATTACATATTATGATTTTTTGCGCGTGACCACTTCCGTGCGTAATATGAATATGTGATCCTATGTTTTTGTCATAATGGCTATGGTCTGTGACATTATTGCATATCATTAAAATAAATGAAAGAAACTTTTGTTAAGCAATACAACATATTTTAAATATTTACATATATTAATTGTTTACTAAACTTATTTTGAAAGTAAGATGGGTGGCGATGCTTTTTGACAATTTCATTTTGTTATAAAAACGTTGCCCCACTTTGGATTTTCCTGTGTCATGAGTGCGTTTACGAAAACATATAATTTAACATACAAATCACACGCAAAGCCAGGACAACAATTAGTAGATCAGGCAAAGAGTTTTTCGGCCCAAACTGCGACACGTTTCCCAGCCAACATTAAAAACCGTCTTTTATTTGCAGATGTTTTCTAAAAGATAAGGTTTTAGAAACTACGAAGACTGTGTAATACAAACTTATTCTTAACAAAACAAAACCAAACTTCTGAAATTTAATGTTTTGCAAAACGATGCGATTACAATCTCCTTTGTTTAATCAGTTAATAACAGTTATGAATTTCTCACAAACCAATTCATGTAATATTTCACTTGTTAGAAACGAATGAAATACGAGTTCATCTAGAAAGGTAACGAGCAGTTTTATATCGGGCAAAACATCTTCTAGAGATGTTACCAAATATCAAAATCATGTGAAAACACTTAAAACATGTTGAATAACGACGATTACTATCACATTTAAGTTAAGTAACCGACGACGGCCTTAGATACATTAAAGTTGCGATCAGAAGTAGGCCACGAGGCCACTCGCAAATAAATATGTATTTTTGTTCTAATATCGAGTGAGTTACTGCTACTAATTATATGGAATGTGCGTAGAAAATGGCCGCTTGCATCACCTTAAGTTCATCGTAAAATAGTTTTTGATGAGCGTTGTTTGAAGACGTTGATTTATTTCATATTACTTATGATGTTACTGCGTTGCTTTTAGATAAGTTTAATAAATAAATGCATGGCATCTTTTATTAGGTAGGTACGCTAAAAAATTAGGAGAATGTATTTTTTTTTTCCAATTCAAAAAGTTGCTATGGTAGAACACCATTTCTTCCCCCTTGACTTTTTTACATTATTAAAAGTTATATATATCTTGGTGTACATTAACACAAACGCACTTGTGAATGTAAATAAAAACAATTGAATAAACGAAACGTCAAGTTCCAAGAGACCACATGCACCAAAAAAGGCGCAACAACTGTCAACGCATGCCAGCAGTACTTATTTTAAAATTAAATTATAGAAAACGTACCACAGAGTAATAAAACTTTATGGCGCAAAGCAATTAAACGTGTTTTTTTTTTGTTTCAGCGGTTACGAAGGACAGTCCAATTGCATCACATACGAAGCCATCAATCAAGCTTATCTCGAAGCCAGAAACAGAATCTGTAAGTTTTAAAATACATTCAAATTCACAAGTCGTAATTCTCTTTGATTTAAAGTATGAAATAGTTCGCGTTTTTATTAGGTACCTTCTTACAGAATGCACAAAAAGTTGTTTGTGTGGCTACCGAATTTGAACTTAACCAATTTTATTAGACATTATGAAAATTAGCTTAATATGCTATTTGAGTATTTATAACAAAAAAATCTTAAGAAAAAACATCTCAACTTCACGAAGTATAATTTTCATGCAAAGAACTGGTTACAAGAAAATTGTGCCACCTATGTATATGTATAATAAAAACATGCAAGTCACACATTACCACAATATAATGGAGTGCGTGACCCGGAACACATCTTTTCTCTTATCATCATCGTATACAGCACCTTCGCTTTATAATAAATAAGTAGGTAGGTTTAATATACATAACGGTACTATTTACATCATCGACTCAAAAATTTATTGCGAAGTCATCACAAAACTGTTCTTTAAACTTTGACAATTCTAATGTGAAGGGGGCAAGCGTTTAACCTCACATTAATATTACGAGTGTTAGTATTGAGAAATAATGCAAGACATACCTAATAAATATTTGTATTTGTCTATAACTTTTTTTTTTGAACAGTGCAATTTATATGTTTTTATTTTCGGCCAGTTAAAATTTTTATTATTTAGTCTATGGATATAGGACATAATATAAGTCTAAACTAAATTCTAAATTTAAACTGTCTTCCGACCTTAATGGTCTTTAATAAATAAATTAAGTCATATATTTAATTTTATTTTACATACTAATAAAATAATTGTCTTTGACTTAAAAAAAATTCAAAGCACTGATAACTGTAACTGATAAAATATCCAAAGTGATAAAGATGATCTTCATGCAGTCTGATTATCGATTCCACAAACGGTTCGAATGGATCGATTCCACGAACGATTCCTAAAATAATATTAATCTCCCTTAAATTTTATTTGTTACACCATAAAACTTAACAGCATAAACATGAGGTTGAAAAAGTAATAATGATTACTAACAATACATTACCTCCACAGTGGTCACATTGCCAAAAGGAGACTGGAAGGCTGAACATTTCGCGAGCGTTGGCGAGCTGATTCTAGACATATCCATCAACCTGGCCCGAAGGTGAGTACAATTACAATGACATTAACATCCACACCAGTGTTCAAAACTACTTTCTACATTCGTCTCGACTTAATGTCAACAAAGGTAAACTAGACAGGATTTTTCGACGACCTTTCAGATAATTCAAGTACAAAGTCATGGTTTCTCATTATCATTAATTATGATATTCGAGTAAACTTTCATTCGACATTCACCTACTGAACGCTGTTTTGCGAGGCTGTACGTGATTATCCTTACACGAGTTTTAATTGAAAACAATAACCACGAATTCACAAGGCTAATCTTCTTTCAAATCCGCTCCTTTTGTCTTCTCTGTCAATTTGTTCATGGTCATCGTCCACTCACGACGCGGAACGATATCAGCACACATATCTATTGTACCATATATCGCACTTAATCAACTATAACATTTATTATTTAAGTATCAAGGACCTAATTCTCAAGTCATGACGGCTTCATATCGAATCGCAAGCAACTCGTGTGACCAAACGCGATCGTCGAGCGGTAAAGTGATCGTTTAATTTGAAACCTTAACCGCAACAATATAATACACTTGCTGACAGATTTATGTAATATATTTCGTAGGAACATAGATACAATAAACAGAAAATAATAATTGTTTATTTAGCTACATACGATTCGTATGTTTGCCGTAAAATGAGCGAAATTTCAAGTAAACACAAGCCTTTTAAAGTTCTCAAACTTGTAAATGTAGGTGCTCATTGAAACGGTTATTAAACCTAAGCCTTGATCTTACCGTTGTCGCCTACGAGGTGTACTGACCTTCGTAGTGAATGTCCTGTGCAAATGTCATCTTGACTCATTAGCGATAACCGGAGCAGCTGACTCACCGCCACTTAGTACGACGTCATAGCCGGGACAAGCGACGAGCGCGGAAGAGAGCGAGAGTGGTCTCAACTCCTTTGTATGTACATCAACAACTCAGACAACCCTAGCAACAAAAGTTGAACAAAAATGAATCTTACTACTTCCCAATAAAGTCTTTATCAAATTCATGAACTTGCGGTTGACTCTTAGCTTTATGTGTACGTGTTATACGTTCACTTCCTCAAGTGATAGTAAAGGGCGATTATCGAATAGATTGGCTTCGGTGATCGATCATTATTACTCGTTTGAAAGGTGATTTTGTATTGTAAAGTTCGCAATTAGTTTTGGCATTAATGATAAGCAGCTCTATAGAAGTTTAAATTGTATTACGTAGCTGTTACATGATTTTGGTAGACTTTAAATTATGTTCTTAACTTCTTTTTCAATAAGATTTTTGTCAAATTTATTTAAATAACGAATGTAATAGACTAGGATATGATACATTTTTTTATTTTGAATACATTTTTTTAAGAAATTGCTGAAACGAATGATCTTGTGCGCACTTACCTGTATAAAAAACTAGCTTGCGCATACGTAATAAAGTGATGTATACCGCGATTTTAAAAACAGAAGCGTTTAGCGTTAAAGATGTAGCTCAACTAAATTACGCAAATTAAGTTTACTTTATAGCCTAATAGCACTCAGGAACATTGTAGATCATCGCGTAGGTATCAGGTTATAAGTAAAAATTTTGGAAATGTGCCCAGCGGTTTAAAAGTTTTTATAATATTAGTATAGATAAATAATATACATTCTCAAACTAAAATAATTATAAATTTGTGTAAAACTAATTTTTGATGTAAATCTTTGGCAGTATTGTTGTAAATAATTTGTTTTAACAAATTTTATTGCGTGTTACAACATCCGCAAAGATTACATGCAAATTTAAAATAATACAAGGTCGGTTGGATTCATAGGCGTATCTGTCTACTACTACAAGATAAAAATCCGTTTGCTAATGCGAGTAATGTATTTAAGAACTCCATTCGAAATATCTTAAGAAATTGGGCGTTGAAATCAACGCTTGTTATGATTAATGATAAGTCTTATATTCGCTGCAAGGTTACTTATTCTACCTGGTAATATATCGTAAGAAATTATATTCATATTGATTACGTGTAAATTACCAAATGGATGGGAATTAAGTAGATTGAGATACAGATTCTTATATGTGTAAAAAAAAATAACAGGAAATTGAATTTGGATTACATTTTTAATTTATTATTTCTTCACAATTTGCTGTCAATATTTTGGTACTACGTAAGTACCTAGTTATTATAATTTTATTAATAGATATAAATACGTAAGTATATTCTAAACATTGAAAAGTTTTTCAAAAAAATCTGTGTTAACTTATAAAGAAATCCCTGGGTACCATGCCTATAGAGTTTCATTATACTAATAGATATTCTTTAAAATCATAAAGAAGAGTCTACTCCTTAGGCTAAGTACATACACAGGAAAAGCACTAATTGAACGACTCGATTGCGAACCAAAAAGTTTTTATCTCGATAGCTTACATCCTATTTCTTCTTTATATTAAACCTCAATGCCTATATTAAAATTTATCGCTGCGTATCATCTCGAAGGTCGTTGAACAAAGAGTTTAATTTCATGACTGCTTGTCTGTTCTGATTGACGGATCTAGGTCGATATTAGTTACTAGTATTGTTTCAATGTAGCCTGTCAAACAGCTACCGAAAAGTATCGATAATCTTTGATAACGATTTAATTACCCACTCATTTAATTTTACGATGTAATGTGGCATTGGAATGTCGTAGGGAATTCTTGGAATGTTTTTATGGTTTGAAGGAATAGTACTAAAGTTACCTATGTTTTAATATTTAGAAAATCATTTGAAGTTTCAAAAGTAGCTCCTTATTTATTAGTTTTTATTTTTGTTGGAATATATGTCCTTTTACTTATTAGGTTAACTAGATTGGCGCAGGTTCACCTAAAACCTGGCAAGTACCTACCAATGTGACTTTCTGAATTATATGCTCTTTTTAGTTTATTTTAGCACCATCGGTGAAGGAAATCGAGAGGAAATCTGGGCTTAAAATTTTTGTTTATACGTTCGAAATTGCCTTGAGCAAGCGTGGTGATTTGTGTACAAACCGTGTGAGAAGAGGCCTTTGCTCAGCAGTGGGCACATATAAGCTGATGATGAAGTTATTATGCCACCTTTAATTGTAATATTTCTCATCTGTTTGCAGATATATGTTTTATTGCTAAAAGATTAAATAGCTTAAAAGTTATTTATACCCTACAATTATATTTTAGATTGTATTGTCCTCGTTGTGAAGATCCAATTGCAAATAAATTAAAAAATGTTTTACTCATTTCCTTATGTAATACAATCTGTTCTGCAGCACAATTTAATAGAGACGTTCACCTCAACGTGAATAGATACTGAAAAACTAATTTGTAACCTTATTTCTATTTACCTGTTTCTTTGCCATCTTACGACAATAACATTTTCGCGATTATAATGTTTAACAGAGTACGATTAAGTTATATAATTTAATGGCACACTGTCTATTGCTGAGATGAGCACTTAATTTTGTATGATGAATATGATAAAATGATAAATTCACACTTTTTATAATCAACTGGCTCTCCCGATGATCTTTAATCTCATTTGTTAAATCATTAGTGTAATGAAATTGAATAAAAATAAGCAATAGCAATAGCAAACTGCAGTCTATGCAAATTAAATAAGTTTTTTTTGCGTGAGTCTATTTTATACGTGGTTGTTTTTTTTTTTAATACTAAGACAAAACATATAAAACCAATCAAGAAGGTTTAAATCGATTTGACCGTTCTCGAGTAAACGCTTTACATTTCTTATAGTACTTACTCGAGATGATTTATAAACGCTACAACAGTAGATAATCAGTGTTTCTCATATTAATTTTATTACAATGTTCGTCTTCCAATCTCTGTTATAAAGATTTCAAAGTATTTTGGTTTGCATACTAATATCTCTAAATTGATATTGAAGGGAAAATTACGTCCATAAAATTCTTTTACGCAATTTTACTGTGAACTCGGAACGTTATTGTGATGAAACTTTCCAATTATGTTATACAACGTTATAAAAAATAGATTTTCTGTGAGTATAAATATAAAGTAGTGAACATCTATACTTAAATGATAATAACATGTAATACACTTATAAGTATTTTTATGGTAAGGGTTTCGGATATTTAAGGATTGGAGGGATTGGGCCTCCAGTAACCTCACTCACATGGCGAAACACAACGCTGTGGTGATTTCACGCCGGTTTCCTATGAGGCGCGGTATCACCCCGAGCCGACCCATTCGTGCCGAAACTTGGCTCTGCCACACTTATATACTAAAATTAGTTTATTGTATACATAGTAGGTTAGAATAATAAAACATAAACAATAGGTCTTTACCTATGAAATAACCGTTCTGCAGTACTGGCCATTTCAAATCAAAATAGTTTTTGTTACGCTAAAGCTAATTAATTTTGTTTTAAAAACATGTCATTCTTTTTCCAAAAATAGTCATTTGTTTATTGATTAGTGTTATATTTTCATCGCATTTCAAATCAAAAAATTCGTTAAAATTTTTTCATGCAAAAAAAATATTAGCTGATTGATGATTTAAGACAATGACTAATGTTACTTGGCAATGTAAGTACCAACTAATAGGAAAAAAATCAAACTATCTTTAGCAATCTAAAGGTCAATAGTTCCTAATCACTGTAATTATCATTTCAGTTTTGTTCAAACGCGCACATTGCCATTGATTTTATGTACCTTGAATGTCTGGAGATCAGTATACGATCAAAGTTACATATTATTATAATTCCTTTTTATTATTAGGTACGCCAAATCAAATGTATTAGAAAACTGACAAAGAAGTATAAAATGTCGAAGAACCGATTACTTTTCTGGTAGACGTGTTCTAGAGAAGAGACCGCATCTAAGGAAACTTAATGTATGGCGCCCTCCAGCTAAGTTTTTTTTTGTGAAGGGAAAATCATCAAATGACTTTTGAAGTCATTGAACACAACAAAAAAAGAATTAGCAAAATTGGTTCAGGCGTTGTTGAGTTATGCACTTACCAACACATTTTGCGATCCATTTTTATATACTAAGAAGATAAGTACTTTGCACAGCACAAAACAAGGCAATTAATATCAATTCATTCCAATCTAATTAATACGAAATATTCGTGCAAAACTAGCGTATACATATCTTGCTTGGATGACCTAGAGCACATTGTCTTACATTAAATTTAATTAAAAACCTGTACATGGGTGCCTTGAACTACATCATAGTGGATAACATTTGACCTTTATTACTATGGAGTAATATCGTATAACACGTATTTTACGTAATCTCTATCCAAACAGTTGGCGTTACGATTACTTACTTGCACATTATTAATTTATTTTTCAATGATAAATTTGATATTTGAAATTGGAACGCTTAATTCAAATAACTAGCACGGAAAAAAGACAAGCCGTTTATTTCACACGTACAAACCAAATAAATAAAATTAAGGATGAATAAAACATATACCTATCTAAACATTAGAAATACGATGCATTTGCGTCTCTTTGTGGGAAAGAGCTATCAGCATAAATGATTACATACTTCGTGTTTCCGGCTTATTCCAATTTTAAAACTTATTAATTACACAATCGGAAAAATCAACTTGAATGTTATGTATACCTAACTATGGATGTTTCTCACCTCTTTTATAAACTTTAATGAGGATAATAATTCACTTCGAGGTTATATTTAAGCATAGTCTTCTATTCGATATGTATACCTACTTACCCACCACAATAAAAAAGTATTGATTCGGCTTCTCAATGATAACAGTCAGTCAAGGATCTAATTAATTGCGTCTTGCATAAATGTACCTATTTACCTGTTAGATATCAATGACATTAACCAACATCATCATCAGATACGACAAAAACACAAATGATCCAATTAAACGAACGGAATTAAAATGATTTCATAGTAATATAAAAAGCTATTAATTGAAGCAGTAAGTATCGTGTACATTAATTGGTGTATTCAAAATTCAAATTCCGCCCGTGGCTTCTCATTCTCACGCATATAAAAGTAACGAGGCTGATTGTAAAACAGAAGCGCTTAAAGCGATAGCTTACTTACAGTACGCAAATGAAGTTTATTTTTTTAAGCCTATATTATATACACTCAGGATCATTGTAGCTATTTCTCAGTGAAAGAATTTTGGAAAACCGACCAGCTGTTCCCAATCCCTATCCCTATGTATATGTACAAAAGTCCTCCCTGAAATGTCCTCCCTATGTAGATGTACAAACTTACAAAGTTTACCTATATAAAATATTAGGATAGATTAATTTTTGATCAAATCCTCGTTACGTTTGAATAAACCTTGGCATTTGAATATCCGTTACCGATTCTATTGCAATAAATGAACAAATGTAATTGTGAAGTGTATCAATCAATTAGTTTAAGTTTTTTTTATTTAGTCAGTTCTAAACGGTTATTACTTCCGACAGCACGTTCGATCCTTGGTAATTGGTATTAGATATGCTACATTATACAACCTCTTTGGTGGGACCTTTTCTAATTGTTGTTGTTGTTGGCGATTTCTTTTTTTTTTATTTATACTATTTTAATTTTTATGTGTTTTAATTTGTAAAGCTTCGGCTAAGAATGTACAAGTACCTATGTAAAGAAATAAATCGATAAAATAGGTTTTACTCTAAAACATTGAATCAGTCTTGTCATAGTACCTACTCGTAAATATTGTCTTGACAAACTGTACAAAACCAAGAAAAAATAATTCGTTTAAAGAATTAACAAAATTTAATAATAAACATTAATTTAAAAACAATGACATAGATAGATCAACTTCCAAGTTAAGATTTAATCATTGACAATTTCATCTTACACAGTAAAAGTAACCATTTTAGTCATTTGAACATATTGAAGCGTCAAATTTGGATACTATATAAAATAAATTACTATCAAAAACATCAACTACCCACCATAAACTAAATAGGTCCTGACAAAAATGGATTTTTAGATTTAAACATTTGTAGGTACTATAAGTGTGAGAATTTTATCTTCACACACAAACATACATACATGTTATGTATATAGGTACATATATACAAAAACCAGTTTATCCTCTGAAATAAACATTTATTCACATAAATGTTTCTTTCTTTCTTTATTTCTTTTTTTCTTTCATATTAAACTTTTATGAGACGAATTGGATAACAGTTTACCTTAGCTCAATATCTTCGACATCACATACGGAATCTAAGATCATTTCCCTTTTTTCCAGATACGGTCTTACCTACGAAGAAATAGAGAAGGGTCTGCCGCTCATTGACACTTCCCGCACCCTCATCCGTGAAGTATGTCCACCTGTGTTCTCTCACGTGGAGTGCCGAGCTGGCAAGTACCGAAGGTTCGACGGGCTCTGCAATAACTTGCAGAACCCTACCTGGGGCGCTACCATGGCTCCCTTCCAAAGGTAAATAAATCAAACTATTAATATTGATTTTGCATTTAATCTATTGAATATGTTTGTGATTAAACTTTATAAATGGTAAATATTTAGTAGACATATTTGCCATTTATAAAGCTTTCTTAAGGCATCATATGGCCTTCTCAAATTCCATTTTAGTGAAACAAAAAAACTTTGTAAATAAGTACCTTATGACTCATATTTTAGAGTGTAATTTGATAACTTCCAATTTGATACGACAATTAAGACACAATTTATTTTAGTAGTTTTCATGAAAATGTTTAACTCAACCCCAAACGGATACACGAAATAAAAACCAAAATTTTTCTATTGTTGGTTTAGCTGTATCTCCTATACAATCTGATAAGTCTCTACACTACTCTTAAAAAGCAAAATCAAGATTCAAGATATACCTATTCGAGTTTCTGGATCTAGTAGAAAGTGAAATTTGCAGTGCAAAGCCCCGAGACGTAGGTATATAAAATAGTTGCTCACACATGTGGAACTGGTGTATGTATACTATAATATGTTTCCTCCTTGCAGACTAATAGGGCCACTTTTCGCTGACGGCATCAACTCGCCTCGTATCGCGCATCATGGTAAAGATTTGCCACTTTCTCGTGTGGTGTCCCGCACTATGCACCCTGACGAAGGGTTCCACGACCACGCTGGTACCGTAATGGTCATCGCTTGGGGACAGTTCATGGACCACGATTACACGCTGACAGCTACTCCTCTTGGTAAGTGTTTTAGATATTATCGAAAATCCTCTTTCTAACAGGAATTAGGGAATCCGAATGTCTAAGATTCGAAGCAATATCAACACGCTAACTATAAACATGGCCTACCATCTTATCTGTCCTTTAAAGCCCGCTAAGGTGATATCAATTTCTTGAGTATCAAGTGCAATAATGTAATGCGGCCCTGACCCTTAGCAGGAGAAGGAACGACGAGTCTGACATTTCCTCTCACCCCACCCGGGCGGGAGAAATCAATTGATGAATTACCTTTAATGTTTTTTATTTTAATAAAAAATCTTTATTGGTTATATTTGCTGTCAGATCTTCTTAGCGCCTCTATCAATCACCAAATGTACTTGTACCTAAAGATATGTAACAATTTACTTACTATATGAATAACTTTATTAGCTTGTGCTCTAGTAAACTAAATCTCTCCTCCAAAACAGACCCTGTGAACCGCAACGACCCCGAGGAGTGCTGTAAGCGCCCCCCTCACTTGAAGCACCCCTACTGCAATGAAATCCGTATCCCTGATGATGATTACTTCTACCGTCTGTTTGGAGTCAAGTGCATCGACTTCGTGAGAGGTTTCCCGTCGCCAAGACCTGGCTGCCGTCTGGGTAAGTTTCTAAACAATTTAAAACTCCAATTATTAATAAAATCTATAAGTCTAGTACAGTGAAAACCTTCAGAATTATTGTCTAATCTTTGGTCTACAACTATTAAATTAGAGGTCAATGTTAAGCTGTAAATTCAATAATTTGGCACATAGATATGGTTGCATACTAAATTCACACGCGATTTGAGTTTTACGTTCCTATAATTCCATCGAAGGCCGTAACCAAATTATCTAAATCACGGTCAAACGATTGCAATTCACACTAATGCAAAAAAAATTAAGAATTTTTGGTGCCTAATATCTACATCATAGAGGTAACCAAAGAAATTCATTTCGCAAAGAAAATAAGGTTTTCACTATCTATACACATTTACTTATTTCCATAATGTTTTCGAAAATGTAGTTTACCACATAAAAATAGTGGTACAAAACATAACATTATGTCAAAAGCGGTCGTAAGCAGACATAACGCGACCTCTTTGGTCACTCTATTGTTATTCATGAACATTACTGAGTTAGATTAAATGCTAACCATAATATCTCGACGGGGAAAGTGTTGGTCATTATAATGTACAGTCCACAGTTCGTCACACTATAACACTGTACAATTTTGACGACAATTTCGTCTTTAATCCATGTGTAGAAGAGTTATAGTCGTTTAAAAATAATTGCGGTTTAAGTACTGAATTGTGAAGTGTGGTTGACTGTACTCCTTGCATAATGTAGACTTTCAGTCAGTTTATCTGTGTTTGACATTCAGAAATAAGTGTAGAAACTGCTAGTGGTTTAATAACTTATCTGACTGACTACTGACATATCTTTAAGTGGCTACCTATTGTTCTTTATTATACACTTTAGTTGCTAGGCGTGTTCCACTGAACTTAATAAACTAGGTAGCTAGAACATTTATGCTGGCTTGTAAAATAAGTTGTTGGTAATCATAGATAAACGTTCACTTAAAACTGGTTTACACTTAACTACAAAATATTAAAACAGAAATAGTTATTTTACATTATGACTGCACAATTGACGGGGTGGCTGGACAACCGGCGACCATGCAATGTTCAGCGTATTCGATTCTTGCACACGATGCACGAGTGTGTCATGAAGATGTGAAATTGTATATTTGTAAACCCACGACATTAGAAAATCAAGCAACTTTTATATGTGATAGAACGCCAAACTAGCAGACGAAATACCTAATGGTAAGCTATGGACGCCGCCCGTGAACGCAAAAACATAGGAATTATGAGAACGTTGCCGACCTTTTGGGAATTAGGGTTTTGGACATTTAAGGTTTTGACGAAGGGAAAAAAAATTATTATTAAAAAAACAAAATACCCGACTGCACACTAAAAAAAGAGTAAAACAAGCCCCACAACACAAATTTACTGAATATAATTTATAAATGTTGATGGAAAGCATCGCAGGCGGGGACCAACAGAGGCTTATTTATAGTCATTTCTGTTGTGCACCATTTAGCAGAATTTTCGTTGGTGGCGGTCAAGGTGGTCCCCGCCTGCGATGCTTTCCATCAACATTTATAAATTATATTCAGTAAATTTGTATTGTGGGGCTTGTTTTACTCTTTTTTTAGTGTGCAGTCGGGTATTTTGTTTTTTTAATAATAATTTTTTTATTTATAACTTTTTAGCTGTTTTTATTTAACGTTACTCCCGTGATTGAAATGAATCTAATGATACCGCATACATATTTTTTTAAAGGGAAATTTAGAAAAAATATTATTATGTCTTTATCCCGTGGGACTTTTAGGATAAAATGTATCCTATGACACTCCCGTAATCAAGACAAATCTAACAATACCTCATACATCAAAATCCATCAAGCCGTTTAGGCTACAGGAGGTCACAAAGGAAAAGACATACATACATACTTACATACACTCGAAAAACATTACCCTCCTTCTTTGGCAGTCGGGTAAATAGGAGCTCCAGTAACCTAACTCACACGCTATTGTCAAAAAAATACATAATATGTATATTGGTCAAACTCCCCGTACTCTGCATTCGTTATTGCAAATACTAGATCGGAATTACAACCCACACCAATAATATTAATCTTTGTTTATCACCAATAATATTATTTGTATATATATTCATTAATTAAATTAAGAATTTGAGTTTCACTTTTAACTAGAATGAAACAATGTTATTGTAACAAATGAAATTGAGAATGACTAATAAACCAGTTTGACTACGACTAGCGTATTACTGGGAACCGATAGAGATCTTAAGAGTCATAACTTGGCAAATGATGGACATTTTGCATGGTAGAAACGACGGGGTGCCACTTTCACAGTAAATGAATGGCACACAAAACATTGTCAGAGAATAACATCCAATTAAGAACCACGTAGACTCACAGGACTAACCGCCGTATCCAGAGTCATTTGATGGTTATTTTACCCGCAACTTTTTTGAAGTAAAATCTTTGTTTCTAAGGAACAGTTGTTTTGTTGTGATAATGGACAAAGAAAGTGTTTAATCACTCACAAGGTATAGTGTGAGAACAGTATCAATCATCATCAACATCTGTCAATAGTTGCTATAGTTCGCTACGGAACGTGAGGTTTTGGCTTGGATTTTAAAACGTGTGTCGATCGATAGACGAACAGTAACACAGGAGAATCCAGGATCTTCCCAATGCTCACATAATTATATTTCGATTTCATGTCAGTATGTGACAGTGACTGTGACAATCAGAAATAATTAGTGGACACGGGGAAATAATTGGTTTAAAAACTAGCCCGAATACATGCTAGTTCTACCACAACAGCAGGCACACTCGTATAATACTGAATGGCAATGTCTCTTTCGCAAAAACGTTATTAAGAAATCGATTGCAATACCTACATACACTTAACGTTAATATTATGATAATAACGTACACTTTATATGCTAACTTTGCTAAAATAAATTCGTAATAAGTTGCTGTAATAAGTATAATATAACTACACACGTTATGGGGAGACTGGGCAAATCTGGCGCTTTGGTTGAAGGTTGTCCAGTTCACTTGATGGATAATAACCCATTTGATAATTTGATTGTCCATAATTGCACAGATAAGTCCGGCGTAATCACGACTAGTTAGACATGTGACATGACATATTTGTTTTAGTAGACATAGGTAGTTATAGCGTAGCGAAAATAGACTTTGATTATTTTTAAGCGTTTAACCCTACTTGCGCCTAGTTGCGATCTTTCTTATCTAAGCTTTTTAACGTTACGTAAATAAATAAATTATAAATAATAAAAAGAAAATTGAATCTTGCTCAATTAGATTATCCTAGTTTGGAAATACTTAAGTTTTATGGCAGTTTTTATTTAATTATCACTCTTGACCAAATACATTTGAAACGTAACGTAGACTCGTATGAAGTTAATTAAAGAAATGTGTATTTGAATAAAAATAATATAAATATATTTTTATGTATTTCAGGTTCAAGAGTTCCATTCAACACTTTGACAGGAACTATAGATGGAAACACTGTTTATGGAGTAACTGAGAAATTCGCCAGGTAAGACTTTTTTATTTTTAGACTAGCCTGGCAAACTACGTACCGCCTCAAAATTCATTAATGTTTTCTGACAATTTTAACCCTCCAACTTCCACGAGTATACGAGTATCAAGACTAAAACTAATTTAATTGGTCCAGCTGTTCTCGAGTTTTAGTGAGAGTTCAAGACAATTTATATATTTTCATAAAACTTTAAAAGAAAAACCTAGTTTTACCAATATTACTTTTCATTACAAAATGACTTTTCTAAATAATCTTCAATACTATCAATATCAATAGGTACCTTATATTTAATCAGTTTGTTTCTGTCTACTGTTCGTATCATTACAATGTTACAATTTTGTTTTTCAAACATATTCTGTAACATGGATCAATTTTTGTAAAACAGAAAGCTGCGTACCGGTTTTGGAGGACTTCTGCGTATGAACCCAGTGTTCAAAGAGTATGGACTTAAGGACTTGTTGCCGCTCAAACTTGACATTCCTGATGAAGGATGCACCAGACCCAACAAGAACATGTACTGCTTCGAAGCTGGTAAGCATTAGTTAATAAAACAAACAGTTATAGCAATCCGAAATAAAGGAATAATACCTATGCCGTCCATATTTCAGAACCATAACTAACCCTTTTAATAACTTTAATAAGTTTTGTTGAGACTTACATCCACTTCGAAAAGTTCATTACATATTTTTTTCTTTTTTATAGGTGAAATTCGTGTCAATGAACAGTTAGTTCTGACCGTCATGCACACTCTTATGGCCCGTGAACATAACAGAATAGCCAACGGCCTTGCTGAGGTCAACCCCCACTGGGACGACGAGACACTCTTCCAAGAAGCAAGACGTATCAACATTGCTGAAATACAACATATCACTTACAATGAATTTTTGCCCATCCTACTCGGAAAGGACGTTATGGAAAAGTTCGGATTGGTAGTGGAAAAGGAGGTAAGAATATATATCGAAACAAAAACAAGAAAACTAATTTTCACTAAGTACTTAGGATTACAAAAATTAAGAAACCACAAAATCAAATTCACATTTTTTATTAAATCCGATTTCCTAAGTAAGATTTCCTCGTAATTTGGAAAGAATAGTGATCGAGCGACATCGAAACAAATTATGTAATCATTTCACAGCTAGGTAATTGAACTTGTGTCACCTCGCGATGCTCTACTTAACAGTTGCAAATGACTGATTTGTTTCAGGGTTACTGGGACGGATACGATCCAGAAGTGAACCCTGACGTCATCGCATCGTTTGCCTCAGCTGCTTATAGATTCGGACATTCTTTGCTACCAACTGCGGTCGAAAGATGGTCCACAGCACACAAGTTCATCGGTACGTTAGAGATTTTAGTTTTCTCCTGTTCACAGTCTTTTTCATCATTACATTATTGTTTCTTCGATTATAGAGTATACCGTTCTAACTAACACTGTCCTACTTATCCCCTTCCAGCATCAAAGAGATTGTCAGACCTCATTCGTAGACCATACGATCTGTACAGAGCTGGTGTCCTAGACGAATACGTTATGGGTCTTATGAACCAGGTAGCCCAAGCTATGGACGATTCCATCACACAAGAAGTTACAAACCATCTCTTCAAGAAGGTCGGCGCTCGTTTCGGAATGGACTTGGTGTCATTTAACATGCAAAGAGGTCGTGAGTTCGGTATTCCCGGATACATGGAATTCAGAAAGTTCTGCGGTCTTCCTCCTGCCGACACCTTCCAGGATCTGTTCGGTTCCATGCCTAACGCAACTGTTCAAAAGTACGAGACAATCTTCGACCATCCAATTGATGTGGATCTCTGGTCCGGTGGTGTGTCTGAGCGTCCTCTGCCCGGTTCCATGTTGGGGCCCACTTTTGCTTGCATTATTGCTACTCAATTCTCTTACTCAAGACGCGGTGACAGATTCTGGTGAGTTAAAATTGTCAATTTGCGAATAATCAACTTAAACCTTTTGATAAATGCCTTAACATTTATGACTTGTCTTGTAGGTACGAACTTCCCAACCAGCCATCATCGTTCACACCAGAACAACTGAAGGAGATCAGAAAAGCGCGAATGGCGCGTATCATTTGTGACAACACAGACATCATTGACACTGTCCAACTATACCCTATGGTATTGCCTGACCATGAATTGTACGTATTTTATATTATGAGAAAAAACAATATTTGTCATGATCACGCACTAATTACTTACTTCTCTTTTACAGGAACCCTCGCGTACCCTGCAGAAGTGGTATCATTCCTATGATGGACTTTAGCAAATGGGCTGAGCCCGCGCCTTCGCCATTCCACGGTGCCGCGAAACAATTCGTGAGTAGCTTCTCATACGACCCATATTTGGGCAAGAAGTAGTCGCAAGCACTTTAGATGTAGTATATTCACATAGAGTAATGTTATAGTCAACTGTGTAGCTCTACGTTGTTCAAGCTAAGTAACCTTTGCTAAAGGACTTCCTTCAAAGCTCTTCCATCCAAGATCCATACAAATCTAAGCTAAAGTACAAAATATTTTAAAAAGCCTGTTGTTATCAAAAATATTTTAAACGTAATACCATACGATATCTAAGATTTGTATTTTCAAGATTACTTCGCTTGAACTGTAAATTACCATTTTGTCAAGTTTTGGTCTTTGCCGTACCTGTGTCATGTAGAGGTTTTTATTATACTATATCTTAAAAAGTTATAGTGTATTATAGCAACGTAGAATATGCACGGAGCACAACGATAGCTTCAGTTAGACAACTGCCAATGTAAAAATGTCTGATAAAATAAAAGTTGTCCAACTCAATCTATCGGGATGTACTTTCAAGTCAACTTAATTGTAAACTTATTACATTTGGCGGGTGACCATCTTTTAAATGGTTAACTTGCGTCAAATCTGCCAAAATCACAATAAAGTGCAATGAATCGATCAAGCATGTTAGTGTTTAGTAAGAAATGCTATTTATAAATAGAATAAGTACTTTTGTACTTTGTACAAAAACAAATTATGGCTTAGTCGGAGCTAAGATGCTTTTTATTGCCATATAATTAAGTATAGTTTTGATTGATAATATCTGTCACGTTTTGTATTGTAGTTATTATGCACCTTTAGTATTAGAAGTTGGTTTCACATTCATACAAAGTCATACATCAACCGTCCAGTACCTATCTACTCATCAAAATTACACCATAGTCCGTAGTGTTTAAGTGATACACCCTAAAAGTATGAAAGTAGACACTTTATGCATGCTTAGTAGTACTTGAAATGTTTGTTAGTTCAGTTTCAGTCTATTACAATTTGTAGTTTTAATAAGCGTTTTGTTGTAACTAGTAAAGGGTACCAATCAATCTGATCCAAAAATCTAATCATAGTTCATCTAATCAAATCTTAAAAAATAAGTCAGTCAAAAAAGATTCTCATTCAAGGTGTACAAATAAACAAACTTAATCAAGTAATTATTTTGCTTTGACCTAAAGCTACACTAGCGCCTCTACGACGCAACAAGTCAGTTTCATCACATATTTGGTTATGACTTATGTAGGTACCTACTATAAAGTCCCGTTTATATCATTAGATATCTTTTGCTGGTCAAATAAATGACAAATTCTATTCAATCAATCTTCAAACAAGATAATTTACATGTTTTTAAATCATAAAGAATACTCAATGGATATCAAGTCTGTGTATTTTTGCACCTACTACTGTAAATGTATGTACCGAAACAGTTTTGTTATTTTTTTATTTATTTTTAGTTCAAGTTATTGTATAATTTGTAATGATGCATGGTTTAGTAGAAGTACGTAGATTTGTGTAAATACAAGTATGTTGTAATAAATGTTAGCATATAAGCACTGGTTTTATTGAACAACGCCCTTATTTGTAATTATTAAGTATATGATGTACTTTAGATAATCTGGCGAAATGGTAAGTAGATGTTCTTGTAATCGATGCACCTTCTTATATAACTGTATCCTGTTGTCTTCTTCAAACAGTAATAAAACAATAATTATTTGAATTTCTTCCTCAGATGACCAATGCAACTACTTTTGAAAATAACAGCACGAGCTATGAACAAATAAAAACAGAAAGATGTAATTCAACCGCAAATAGCACAGATAATGAAATAAAAAATTGCGCCCTTATTACTTTACAAGCGCAAAGTAACCACTGTTCTAATAATAATAGTACCAATACTACTGATTGTGAAAGTACTCGCATAACCCTGCCACAAAATACATCGAATGAAACTCAAATAGTTGACAATGATACCGTACTAAAATATGTATATAAAAAAGGTGACAAGGCTGAAATCCCAATAAAAGATAAAGCTTATTTCAAGAATAGCTTGCGGCGAAAACGATCCCCTGTTGAAGTCCATAACAGAAGCCCACTTCCTAGCAAATTTCAAAAACCCGTAGTTGTTAATTACGAAACATCACATGGACCCGGAGAAGCACCATCTTTGGCACCAGTAAAATTTACAGGAAACAATGCTTTAGGTGCTAATTTCAAAATCGAAACCCTTCATGATAACATTGACGAAAAAAAAGAACAAGATATAGCACGTAAACTTAAGATAGATTCAGCTGAAATAGAAAACCCTAATGGACTAGGAAATGATTATAAACAAAATAATGATAAAAGTAAAGCAATCGAAAATGACTCAAGTGATGATAGTAGTAATGAACGAGGTGATTATAAGAATAGACCATCCCAAAATGATAACGTAAGTAGCGAAGAACGTGATGACTACCAAAATCCTCAAAAAATCCAACAAAGCGCTGAAAGCGATGAATATAAAGAACCAAAAACTGATAGTGAGAGAACCTACAGTGCTGAACGTACAAATTATGATAAAAAATCAAGCCGAGAATCGGATAATAGTTCTGAGAACGAAAATTATAAAAATAAACAATCTAGTCAAGAAATTGATAGTAGCGGTGAACGAGGTTCCTATAAAGACAATCAGTCTAGCCAGGAAAAAGGTGAAAGCAATGAACGTGGTCAATATAGAAACAATGAATATAGTAACCAGCGCGGAGATAGCGCTGAAGACAACAGCAGTTCCGAAAGTTCCGAAAGCAATCCTAGAGCTAATGAAAGATATTCTTCCCGAAGTCAAAACAGTAATCAGAATTCTGAAAGTAATGAAAGTAGTAATTCTGAACCAAGAAGCGCTGAAAGTCAAGAAAACGTAGAAAGAGGTGATAGTAATAAGAAAGAAAACGAACACTATAAACAAGATAGCTCATCATATGAAACACCACATAAAGAAAATGCGAAATACCAAAAACTGGAAACCAGACCACCTAAACATTTAGAATCGTCCTCCAGTGAAAGCAATGATGAAAGTAGCGAGAGCAAAGAAACCAGTCAAGACGAACAAAATTTAAATGACCATAAAAAGGGTGATTTGAAAGGTTCACCTATTCCTCTACGAGATATTGACTTAAGTGATTTTAGTTATGAACGTATACAGGTTGATAATAATGGGAAAGTTCAACCACATAAAGATACCTTTGAACAGATTGATCCAAAAACTGCTGTAGAAATTTTACCACTTACAACAGCTGCACCCATTATTGACAGTAAAAATCCTAAATCTTTAAATTCTATAACAGATTACACTGCTATTGCAAAACCAGACATCGGTAAGAACGATAACAAACTAATTCAAATAGATGACGTTGAAGTTAAACCTGTTGTTGAAATTAATCCTGAAAACGATAACGATTCAAGCGAAGAAAATAAAAAACCGAATGTAAGTGAAGAAGTTGAAAGCTTAGAATCGATATTAGGAGTAAAGGAACCTGAAAATGATGATAGTCAAAACGATAAAATAATAGACCAAAAAGTAGTCCAGGATGGAGACGTGAAACAAGAATTTGAACGGATCCCCTTAAATTATAATCATGCTGAGAAAAATGAAAACAAGGAACATCAAGCTCCTGAATCCCCTAAAGAAGACCCAGAATTACAACAAAAAGAAGGAACTTTAGATGCCTTTGCGCCTGAAGATATTAAATACGATGAACATTTAAATATTAAGTTTGATGATTTGGCTATCAAATTACCTGAAATAAAATTGCCAGATGATATTTTAGCTTACTCGAGACAAGATTCTCCGTATTCCGATGACGACTACAAAAAGCGACTACAAAAAGCGACGACTACTCAAGCAGATGTGCCAAGTTATAAACCTAGTTATTATTTTAATCAGAATGACAAAGAAGAAACACATGAACGTAAAGATGAAAGGGAACATCGCAATTCAAACGATGATAGTGACAACGATGATGATCACGCACCTGACACTGGATATTATGGATATTATGATAATAGCAAGAAAAAACAAAATTATAAAAATAAAAATGCCGATGAAGAAGAAGAAGAAGAAAGTGAGGATAACGAAGATTTGTATGAAAAATTCGTACGCGAAAGGTTTGGAAAACAAGGCACTTTTCAAAAAAGGTCTGAAAAATTACAACAGGCAGCACCACTAAATCCAGATTTATATAAAACTATCAAGCAAATTCTTAAAAAGACTGCAGATATAGATGAACAAGCTAAAAAGAGCGGAGATCCCAATGCCGGATACATGTGGACCCTCGAATATGGTGAAAAGTTGTAGATTAGGAATTGTACATAATAATTTTGAGATGCCAAATCATGAGATCGCAATAAACAAAGGAGCCATTGTTTATACAGAAATAATGTAAAAGTTTGATCACATTACTATGCTTAGGCAAATGAATACATTCAAAATGAAAACATGTAATTAGGCAGGCTAGACTGTGATAGGCTGATATATTTAAGTTAGTTTTTAAATACATAAATTATAGAAAAAATGCATTCAATAATGCTTGTACGCACAATAGCCTTTTTATCCTTTGAATCGTTTGGTACATTATATCCTTAACTCACGCGCTTGATTTGTGTTCTATTTTTACAATGTCCCAAAAATTTAAATCTTGCTCTCCTTTCAGAGTAATAGAAAGTTTTTAGTGGCTATAAAAAACTATTTTCGAATGTTCCCTATATCTATATAGCTTAGAATAGGTACGGGACAATAATACAATAAACTTGCTCGATTTTTTATTAAGTTCTAGTAGCTAAGTAATTAGGATCTCATGTAAAAAAGTAGTATTAGGTAAGTAATATAAATGAAGCTTATTCGAAATAAAATATTTAAACACATACCCTTGTGTCATTTTTTAACTACTGTCGCCCAAAATATGTTCAATAATATTTAAGTATCTGACTTGTCTCTAGGATTCGACTCTAGAAGGCTCGATTATGACTGTGTTATGTATGACTATGAAATCATGTATTATGAACCTATGTAGGTCTGTCTATTCCTGCGGGTAATAAAAGACGTGAGAAAGGATAAAGTTTGACAGATCAAAAGCTAACTCAAAATAAATAAATATTAAATTCTTTTTACTAATTAGGTAGGAAGCAATCAGTGCCTTCGGTGGTTTGAGAATTTGTGGAATAATTAAACGTAAGAGGTAAGTCAAAGTCAACTATCTGTCAGTGTCAATCTAATTTGTTATCTGTGGGTCTGTCAAAAACATAACCTAATTCTCTCTCCACTAAAATAAATTCTGTGAAGCAAACGCGATTAGAAAAAACAGTATTAAAAGGTTTATAAAGAGAATTTCGTCCCTTAACTACGTGGTAAAGTAAAATTTCCGTCGTAATGGCTGAAGAAATCCAAAAAAAGATGCAGAAAGAGTTAGAAGTTTTGGGTAGTATACAAAAAGAATTCCGTAAGGCGGTCGCCCAGAAGCAACAATTAGATAGCCAGTTGAATGAAAATAAAGCTGTCAAAGAGGAGTTACTGCTGTTAAAGAAAGACGCTGAAGTATATAAATTGATTGGGCCCGTTTTAGTTAAGCAAGATTTAGAAGAGGCTACTCAAAATGTAACAAAGCGAATGGAGTACATCAGTAAAGAGATTAAAAGGGCTGATGATCATATATCTGCGTTAGAAAACAAACAGGAAGCCTTACAAGAAAATTTATCAAAGCTTAAGAACAATCTTAATAAACTGAAAGCTAAGGCTTGAAGGAAACTTCTTCTAACACCAGGATAACGCTTCAGTTTACAATTAATATTTACTTTTGCATTATGTGTATTTAAATAATTATACTTTTAACAATATACTAGCTGTTTTATTTATTCTTACTTAAACAAAATTTTGTACCTGTTATGCACAAGGATAATAGCAGAATTGACTGTGTTAATTTGAGATCATGGTAGAGGCAGTGATTGGATGACTGGCAACTAAGAAATTGGGGTTCAATTCCCGCATGGAATAAATTCTGTGTGATCCACATCGTTATGTGGGAAAGTGTTTAAAAGGCAAAACTCATAGCACTCTTTCTTTTTTACTTATAATAAGCCAAACCTGAACTCCGGTATATACAATAATCAGTTCTTAGTTAATGGAATAAAAAAATGTTACAGCAATATTATAAAGAGGTAAAATTTGTAAGTTTGTATGTAGGGGTAATCTTTGGAACCACTAGACGGATTTCCAAATTCTTTCACTGATTGATAGCTACAATGTTTCTGAGTACTATAGGCTAAAACATCACATTCCGATTAAATATAGGCTAGCAGCGGGCGAAATCGCGCGAGAGTTAGTTTATAGTAAAATAATAATAAAAATAAATTCGTTCATAATAAAAATAATAATTATTATATATTTTGCTATTGTATAGTGAGATGTCAATGACTAACTGCACAGACGCGGTAGCTAAGCAACCAGCTGCAATGCATAGCATGGGTTCAACTCCGGCATGGAGTTACAATGTGTGATCCACAAATTGCTGTTCCAGGTCTGAGTGTATTCTGTATAAATTGCATACTAGTTGCAAATGCACATACAATGCAGGAGAAAACTAATAGCATGGCAGCTGTAAACATTAGTTATTAAACCAGTTCTTTGCGGTTGTCATGGCTCCCAAAAGGACAGTTGTCTATTCAATAAAAACTCCAAAATGTTGTAAAGACTTTATTATGTACATCATCCAAAAATAATACCGATGGCACTTTATTCCTGTTGCACCCAATAATACTAAATATAAATAATATATATTTCTATGATGATAATATTCTTTTAATATATGTTTCGAATTGACCATGGACTGCCATTTGTTTTACAACTATCACATTAATAGGACTAACTTACACTCGGTTTTAAACTAATCTAAAAACTTTATAACTCAAATAACATGAAAATAAATTATTTATAAAAATACGTCTACCTACTAAAAATGTTTGTAAACAACTAATTATAAATTATACTTATGATAAAATAGCAACACACTGAAAATAGCAACTGGAATGCTTACATAAAACTATTTCTATAATCACCTACTTTAAATTGGTCCCGAAATAAGGAACTTTGATAAGCAAGTCACTATTTCAATATTTCATCATATAGGGTAATAAGTCTTTCGAAAAATAGTTTTTACTCCTTTTCGAGTAGAGAGACCAATAAAGTCGTTTTTTATTTTATGGTGCCTTAAATATTTATATACTTAAGTATCTCTACTTATTCAAATATATTGAATACAAAAATATTAAATATCATGGCATGTATAAAAATATAGTAGGTAAACTTTTCACTTGCTACCATAAACAGTCTTCTTACTTAATTCTGCTCTGAACACATGCCACACTACAAAATGGCATTTCCTGTTTGACGACGAATCGTCCGCTCAGTAAGCTTTTACCGCACATCCGACCAGAACACATGAAGCAGTCAGCGTGCCAGTGCATGTTGCCCCAGGACACCCCCTGTTGCTCAGGCCCTATAACACCACTGCAGGCGCGACAACGTTCAGCGTAGAACTGATCGTAACATTGCAAACATATGGGGAGACCAGTCTTATCATCGGGGACGTACTTTTTGCCACCGAGCGGGGCATCACAGTGATAGCAACAGAAATGTTGAACATGGAACGCCCTTCCTTCCGCCGCTGTGTACGGACGGGTAAATATCAGTTCGTCACATCCGGCACAACGCGGGATTTCTAAAACATCAGCTAAATCTCTGGCGCAATAAATCTCGCCTTTGTAGAAGAAGTATACAAGGTCAGCCAGCAACTCATTACATTTGCTGCACGTGAAACATTGTGGATGCCAAATGGCTTCGTGACCAGCCCTTTCGGCTTTGACCGCAACTTCACCAGCAAACATGGACTTATTACATCGCTGGCAGGGCACTCCCTCATTATAAAGCTTCCTGTTAAATTCTACTTCAGCAGGACTGAGAGACAAATCTGCGAGCTGATCGATGACCTGATCCGTACCTTCAGTGTAATTTTGCGGAAGCGCTAAATAGTCGGCACTCTCTCCAATAGGGTGAACATTATCCACTGGTAGGTTATTCCAATCTGTTCCTGCAGTTGGAGGTACAGCACCTGGATATGTGCTGTAGTTTGGCAATGGCGGAGGTGGAAGGTCGTCTTCAGAGTGACTTCTAAGGTACTCTCTCAACGGCGCAGTCTGTTGTGGTTCTACCTGATTTATAGGCTTAGTAACGGTTGAGTACTGAGGATTGATCTTAGTGGAACGAAGACTGCCACTGTGTTCAGGAGTGACTGGCTCATGTTTCCAGCTCCATATCTCTCCATTCGGAGCGAAAATGGTACCTTTCTGAATTCTGCTGTCCAGGAGTTTGGCAGTACCCATAATATTATTGTTGCTGTTGGACCACAAGTCAGGCATAATTTGAGCTCCAAGGGACTTGCTGGAGAACTCAGTTGTTTCATCTTTAAACTGAGGATTACTGTTGTACTCCTCGCGGAACAACTTGATTGGTTGTAAATACACATCATTAGTAACAGGCATATTCAAGTCCTCTAGGTTTTTGAACAGTTTATCGTAGACGGGGCCGTGTTCTACCGCGCTCTTGATCCTGTCTGATTCGATACGCATAATATGCAGTTTGTCTTTAACGATGCGACTTAGTATAGGACTAGATTTGTAGTCTGGGAGATTGGCGGCACTGCTGACGACATTTCCTTGTGAATCTAAGACCAACTTCTTATCAGACGCGTTCTTAGGTACGATGTTGTATTTGACACCCCTGGATACGTTGGATATTTTGAGGGGAAGAGCGTAAGATTTAGTCGCACCGTGTACTTTACTGTTTTCTACAGAGTATATTTCGCCATTTTGTAGAGGGCCCACCCTGACGACATTGCCCATACCGACGACATGGTCCTTAATGCGCGTGATATATTCCTGGGAAACAAATGAAGTAATACTTAGTAGTAATTTAGGTTATGCACATAATTTTCTATTTAAAGGATGTGTAAGGCACGCTATCTGCTGTTATCAGCGGCCCGAGGCAAACTGACCTAATTTGAATGACGCAATTTTCTATCCAATTCAGCATAATATGCACATTGTTATTGCTTTCCGAAATGAGAATAAAACTATATACAGCAAGGAAATATGAGCAGTTAAAGGTTAATGAAACTATTAACAGTACTTACAGTATGTTCTGACTTCTCGAAGTCCGAAGCGTGTTGTCGTACGGCAGGCGCGACATCGTGCGGCGGTAGCTGTGTCCTGAGCTGAGCACGACGCTTGCGAGCCGCCTCCGAACCGGACACCGGGGCCAGGTTGCCCAGACATGACATATACTCTGATACCTAGAATATAAGGTTGAAATTAGCATTAGTATTCATCTTTGTCGAATTAAGAATAAGTAGGCTTGTAGCCTCTATGTATTCTCTAAGGCCTTATCAAAACATAGAAATCATAAATTCAGGTGCATTATTGACCACAATAGGTAAGTAAAGATTACATACTATAAACCTAATTTTCACTTATTTTAATAGATTCGAATGTATTGTCTATTAATGGGTTTTATAGATTCCATATTTTTTCTGACTAAATTAAAAGCCTTGCACCGAAACTGAACCCTCATTTTTGGCATTTGTGCTTGCAAATTTTCAGGAACTGAGAAGACAATCGTATTGTATAAATACTATGACAATAAGAAAATGATGCTGCCTAATAAGATTTTGCCCAAATGTTAATAATACAAGTATAGATATTGACATTGACTTTTGAAATCGTAGATAGCCTGTTAAAGTTTAGATTACATTTGAAACAAATCACTGATTAACCTAAGGTTAATCTTATCTAATGATAACTATTATTGTACATGTATAATAACATTTCTCAGTCATTAGTAGGAAACATTAAAATTTTTGACTATGCATAATTAATTGATAATTAATAAAAAAATATATAATCAATTAATTATAATTAGTTATAAATACACTATCAATATCTTAGGATAATGGCTGTTACTTACCAGCTCAGTTGAAGCATTTGGAGGCACCCAATCTAGTTTCACAGGCTTGTCAGTTACACCTCGAATTTTAATCAGGGGCACTGAAATAATAAAATCAACATTATAATGTATGTGGTAATAGGCAGATTTTATAACTTGTTTTAGATATTATCTTTATTATTTCAGCCTAAATTAACCTAAATATGGGCGTCCCCCACCTCTGTCCGGGTACAGAAACTATAACAACAGTCACTATATATTGGATCAAAACAGAAAAAAAAATTGATTTACAATAAAGAAAAATATTAATCAAGGGACATTGAAAGAATAACAATCAAACAATCAAGTGTATCCTATCAGAAAATAATTGTAAACAACACTTAAACAATACTACACTCAAGTCTTAAAATAGGCTACTACTACTCAACAAGAAACCCCTAATACTTAAAATAATAATAATGATCCATTCTTGTACATATAAGTTTATGAAATCTTAGTGAATTTTTCAAGGAATTCAAAAATGGCTTCAAGAATTTTGATAACATTTTGTATGTAAAGGGGACAAATATTTAATCTAACAAGGTTACATTTTAAAATTTATCCAGGTTCATTAAACAAATACTCACTTGAAGCCTTCTTAGGTCTGGCAGTGCCCAGTAGTTCAAACTGTGCCCACCCTGATAGGTCATCATCTTGAACATCATGGACATCTTTACTGCAATGACATGAACGGCAGACCTTCCTCCAAAAATGTAGGTCTAGACCAGGGCATGATGGTCCTGAATAAATAAAACATTCACATATTAGTTAGACCAGTATTTCATAAAGAAAATATTTAAGTTTTGATTCATCAATACCCAAGCACACATCTGCCTATTATCCTATATCCTTACACCTATTATCTTGCTATTGTGTTTCGTATTACCACAATTGAATTTTAAGTACCCAGAAATTAAGGCCTAATAAGTTTCTGCTTGGAAAATCTAAAACCTCTGAAAAGGTTACTACTCTAAATATAGGCTACATAGTATTATTGTTAAAATTATAACATGATTCAGACTAACCATATAAAACACAAACAGCTGAGGCACTAGTATAAAAAAAATAAAGATAAAAAGACTAATAAAAGTTAAAACAGGAAGCTTCAGTGACATCATTCAAATTGGGGATTTTTAAATGTGGGATTTTTCAAGTAGGTGTTCACAAAATGTGTGTACATATCAGGTCAGCATCCTGTCTTTATCCTAAATTATTAGTTAGCACTCTGCATGTTACTACACAATTTATATATAATTATAATATAGCTAAGTACCAATTAATATAACATTTAATTAGGAACAGAATCATAAACTTAGGAACACACTTCTCTGAAATGTTTTAAAACACATGGGAATTTTACATACAAACTGGAATTTAATTATTATGATAAAATTTAAGAATCATTTACAATGCTTCCTCATTAATTTATAGTATAGGTGATTCACCAAGGAATTATTTTATTTTATTAACAATAAATATAGTTATATTTCTCAGAATATCATGACACGTTGATGATGACATCTATATTACGTTTGTCGACTTTAAACAAGCGTTCGACACACTGCATTGGTCCAGTATTTGGCACCGACTTGACGAAATCGGAGTCCCACCCAAGATCAGAGACCTGCTCAAAGCCATGTACAAAAAGTACTCCTGCAGGGTTGCTCATGATGGTCTAATTTCCGAAGATATATCGGTTCAAGCGGGAGTCAAGCAAGGCTGTCTTCTCTCGCCTCTGCTTTTTCTTCTCGTCCTGGATGGTGTAATGCAGAAAGTAAACGACGGCAAGAGACGCGGTATAGAATGGGGGTTGTACAATCAGGTGGATGACCTAGACTATGCTGATGATCTGTGTCTGCTTAGCCATAAACATGCTGATATGCAAGCCAAACTGGACGACCTTCGGCTAGAGGCGGCAAAGGTTGGCCTTAAAATCAACTCAAGGAAGACCCACGAGATGCGCACCGGGAAAAACCAACAGTCCCTCACTCTTGATATGGAGCCAATCCAGTGTGTACAACAGTTTGCTTACCTGGGAAGCATTGTGTCGAAGGAGGGAGGAGCGGAAGAGGACTCTGCCGCTAGAGTGACCAAAGCACGGGCGACCTTTGCACAACTTCGACCCATATGGCGATCAAAGAAGCTGACTCGTAGAGTCAAGCTTAAAATCTTCCGATCTAACGTCAAGTCCGTCTTACTCTATGGGTGCGAAACGTGGAAGGTAACAAAGGATATCACTCACTTAATCCAGGTCTTCGTCAACCGCTGCCTTCGGCAGATACTTGGCATTTTCTGGCCAGAGAAGATCTCGAACGAACGCTTGTGGCAGGCGTGCCGGGAAATGCCAATAGACAAGCAAATTACACGCCGAAAGTGGTCATGGATAGGGCACACCCTCAGGAGAGGTCCCACACACATACCAAGACAAGCTCTAGAGTGGACACCACAAGGCAGGCGAAAAGTTGGCCGTCCTAAGCAAACGTGGCGGCGCACAGTGGCGGCGGAAATAAGGAGGATAGGACTGTCCTGGTCCGAAATTAAGCACATAGCCCAAGATAGGTCCAAATGGAAAAATACTGTGGAAGCCCTCTGCCCCACCTAGGGGATATAGGAACTTAATATATAATATATCTCAGAATATCTACATTAACAATGACCAATAACTGGTTATTTATAAAAGTAGATAAAATTTGCAGTGGATGAATCAGTTAGGAGGTTGTCAAATAATTAAATTAATATAACAAGAATTTGTAAATATTCCGTATGAATTTGAATTCTTTCTTGGAAACAATAATAATAATTAATTCATAAATTTCCTAATGGAATCATACACATACATAACGTAAAACCGAATAATCGTTTGAACAAACCTATGAATAATGATAACGATTGCATTGTTGTTAATGACGTCATGCCTGTTAAAAGTAAAATTAATCAGGATGTCTGCGTACAAGAAGTATTATAATAAAATTAAACAAACTTTAGTATACTGAAGACTGAAACATTAATAGAATCAATACAATCTATTCTAATTAAATTAACTTGTTTTTATTTACCACATGAGTTACAGGGTGCACCGGCGCCGCTATCGTGACCAAGTCGAGCTTTACTTAATTTTTCTCTTTGACTTTCTAATTTTGAAAGCCAGGCAGGTGCCTCTGGAGTCTCCACACATGACCCACTCAACTGGAAAAATTATATTACACATTATCAATCACTTATCACAAAGTACAAAAGTTATTTCATGGTAGTAAACACAAAGTTAAACTTTTTAAATTACCTTTTTGTCTTGATTTTTAGACATTTTCGGATTAGTGTATATTTTCTTCTCCTACATGTATCTAATACTTTTAAGGATTAAACAAATAAAACTATGCAAAGGAAACGAGATAAATAAAACATTACAATTTACAAGTACAAAGCAACGTCTATACACGAGCGTTTTTTTTGCATAGATAAAAAATATTATGACATCATAATACGATACGTTTCGTAGACCCGCACTCAAACATGGTGTAGGAGGTATAATATTTTTCTGATTTTAGAATGAACACAGAGCCAATTTTGGTTTCATAATTAATTATTTATCATTACAAGCTTCTTCAAATAAAATATTTTTTTAATTGTGAAAAGCACGTGATTAACATTATATTCTTTTAGCTTAATTGAAATCCCTTTGAAAATGAGGTACTTACTAATGATTTCTGCAAAATATTCAATTAATAAACGTATTTACTTATTGTTTAGAATTACCAATGAGGTATGACAAACGAGTACCTAAGTAGCCCGGCTTGTAGTAAATGCATATAAATGAACGTAGTATCATCCGTCAACTCAGTTACATTTTTAATCTGCATCCCTTCCGTAATGTCCCCATCCATCTTTCAATGCGTTTCCTATTCTAATTCGATGTAAAATTTTGAAAAACTTGCTTCTTCTATAAATAGTTTGTCAGTGCTTCAAATCTTTGTTGTTCACACAGTAGTTATAATTGAAAGGAAGTGAGAAAATCTTTTTATACGGTAATATTAACTGATTGTTTTTAACATACGTTTCGGTTTTACAATGAGTCATAGGTTTGCCTTTATTTATCAATAATATTCTCTTCCATAGATGTCATCAGGAAGGCCGATTAAATGTGTGGTCGTCGGTGATGGTACTGTTGGTAAAACTTGTATGTTAATATCATACACTACAGACAGTTTTCCAGGGGAATATGTGCCCACAGTGTAAGTTTTGTTCATGTGCTAAGTGGATATATTGTAAATACAATATTGGTGTGGTGCAGCGAGTGCATATAATGTTAAAACTTTGCAAACAATATATTGATGATTATATTTGCAGATTTGACAACTATTCTGCACCAATGGTTGTGGATGGTGTAGCAGTATCCCTAGGATTGTGGGATACTGCAGGCCAGGAGGATTATGATAGACTTAGACCTTTAAGTTACCCACAAACAGATGTCTTCCTTATATGCTTCAGTGTGACAAGGTATGGAACCAACTACAATTTATTATTGTACATCTTTGAGCAATAGTTTATAAAAGTTGTCTAACATTTAATTACAGCACAAATTAACATTAATCAGACCATCTTAGCTATTCACATTGAGTTAATAAAGATACCAGTTTTATAACAGTGGTGCTCCAACATAATTTGGATAATCAAGACTAGTTAAAAGTAGTTCAGTCTCAAATTGGTATAACTCCCACTTTAATCTACATGAAGGATGACTATTCTTCTACTATGTACCTAAACATTTTCCTTTGTTTTCAATCAAGTCATTATTACAAACCTAATCAGTTTTATAAATATTTAAATATCATATTTCATAATATTATTTTTAATTCCAAGTGCAATTATAAAATTTTATTTATTTTCTATTTCTAGCCCATCATCTTATGAAAATGTAACTTCAAAATGGTATCCTGAGATTAAGCACCACTGTCCTGATGCACCTATTATATTGGTTGGTGAGTATAGAATATACTTTTTAATATGTTTATATTATAACCCCAATGACAGACAGATAGGTGACAGTAATAAGATAACAATACATTTTGTCTCATTTTCTATTAAATGGGTATGACAAATATTTTTGTCTCCACTTATCTGCCAATAGAATTAAATTAAATATTGTTACTAACTTATAAAATTACTAATTTTACAGGTACAAAGATTGATTTGAGGGATGATCGTGAAACTCTCAGTTTGTTGTCTGAACAAGGAATGTCTCCATTAAAAAGGGAACAAGGACAAAAGTTGGCAAATAAAATTAGAGCTGTAAAGTATATGGAATGCTCTGCATTGACTCAACGTGGACTCAAACAGGTATGATGCATACAAATTTCACTTTGGAATTTGTCATATTTACCTGTCTTTAATACTTTTGTTGAAGCTCCTATGACATTTATAATTATGATAAATGAAAATAACATTGTTATTATTGTCATTAGGTGTTTGATGAAGCTGTACGCGCAGTATTAAGACCTGAACCTCAGAAGAGACATCAGAGGAAGTGTTTAATTATGTAAATAAGAAACTTCATGACAGATTCGACAATTATACATGCAGAAATCTCTCGTCAACAGTAATAATGTGTTTCTATACCAGCATGTTCTTCCAAGGTCGCACCCATTTTATATAATATTGAACAAAAATTACAGTAATTGCATGTCATATATGTAAGTGCCATAAACACATTCTTCATACTACATAGTGATACTTTATAATATGTTAACTGTATTTGGATCATCACACAACTATTTTAGTTATATTTTCTGCTTATATTTAAGCATATGAAAATGCCAAAGATTTTATAAATAGATGTAAGACTCAGTATATTATTTAGTATGTTTTGTAAAGTATCTTCAATGGTTAGAAACAAATTGTTACTGTTATATAAAATGACTATAATGTTATTTTTGTATATGCAACTGGACCTCAATATTCGAAGTTTTGAAATATATTCTTATGCAACTTGTGAATAACGACTGACCGTAGATGCTAGTTTTTAACATACTCAATTTAAACTCGATTTAGTTGCAGATGTTTAAGCATTTATTATCCAGTAAATGGTGTATTTGTTAAGCGGTATTTTATTTAGATATATTATATTAATATTCATGCTTATAATAATTCGTAGGGTTTACTTTATTCTGGTTGAATAAAGTTATATTAATTTATGCTGATTTCTCTTAAGCTAACATTTTCTAAAGGCAATTACTGCGATTTATAGCCACGTATTACATACGTAATATATATATGTATCTGACAAATACTTGTACCGTATTGGCAGCTGATATGACTGTTTTAAGCTTCAGTGATGGTGGAATTTAGTCTTAACGCCATTTTTTACTGATCTTTTTCAATTTTCTAAATACTAATTTAATTATATTTTTTTCGAATAATGTTTGTGATTAGACAAAGTGTGTTTATAGTGATTTATTAGGGCGAAATATTTTTGTATGTGAAAATCATAGATTTAAGGAATATAATGCATTTAAAAAGTACTAATTTCGCAACGAAATTCTAGCACAACAACCTCCAATGTCTGAAACAAGGAAGTTATGTAACGTATGTTGCGATTGTCCTCATAAATGAGGACGAAAATCAACATTTTGAAAGGAAGGAATATTACATGTGCATGTTGATAAATGCACCTTCAATTATTATTGATATTATTTGTAGACTGCTTTGATTTACATATAAAGCTTCAAAAATGATTCGTGTATATACCTATTTATGTAAGAGCTAAACGAAACTTGTGTATTATGCACTTCATAAATTATTGAACTTTATCATTGGCTTTTATTTTAAATTTTACACATTTCAAGCGCAGCAGTAACCTCTTATCCATCAAAATCACATCTATTCTTATGTAGGTAATAAGAAGTAGAGGCGCCTCATAGAGCCAATAGACCACCACAGACGGAGCCCTAAAGGACTGATGTTCAGCCGGAGTTGCGGGGTAAGCGCAATGAGGCACCATGACCTCGGCCTAGAGCAGGAGAAGAAACGGGGGGGTTTTTATTCAGTAAGAGTCTGACGCTCCCTCCTGCCCCCGTACCATACAGGCTGTATGGTACGGGGGCAGGAGGGAGTGTCGTACAGCATACGGTGGCGGTGTTCCCTGCTTGGGCTAAGCACCGCTGTCTCTCTCTCGCGTTCGTTCTTAGTCAAGGCCAAGGTGTGGAGCGAGAGGAACTGGGAAGCCAGAAAGCACGAATGGGTCGGCTCGACCGGAGTGATACCACGGCCTCACAGAAAACCGGCGTGAAACAACCAAAGCGTTGTGTTTCGCCGTGTGAGTGAGGTTACCGGAGGCCCAATCCTTCCCCGCCCCCAATCCCTCCTCAACCCCTAAATCTCTAAATCCCTAATCCCTAAAAGGTCGGCAACGCACTCGTAACTCCTCCATTGCGGGTGTCCATGGGCGGCGCTGATTGCTTAGCATCAGGTAATCCGTCTGCTCGTTTGCCGACCAATTAGGTACATAAAAAAAGCAAAGAAGGAGGCGGAGTTCGTGAGTGAGCTATCCTTCTACTCAAGCCCCAGCCGCCGAAATAGGCAACACTCCGGGAATCGGGGATCGAGAGACGATCTCCGGCCACCGTAAGCGCGGGTCTGCGGACGGCGTGTAAGTGTAACTTATCGTCCGACCAGAACCAGACCCGAGCGTACGGGTTGCGTTCCGCGGCGCCTCAAAGAGCCTATAAGAGTTCCCACAAGAAATGGCCCTATAGGGCTCATGTTTAGCCGAGGTTGCAAGGTAGGTAAGCGTATAATGAGACACCGCAGCATTGGCCTAGGACAGGAGAAGAAAGGGGCGGGGGGGATTATATCCGTTATATCTCGCTCGGCGTATGGCTAGAGGGAGTGTCAGACTCTTACTGACTAAAAACAAAATCCCTGTTCCTTCTCCTGCTCCTGCGGTAGGTAGGTACCTACCCTAAACCCCGCGACCTCGGCTAAACATTGGCCATGTTGGAGCTTATCTGTTATTCTTTAAGGAGCGCGCGGAACGCTACCGAGATACGTGCCTCACACGGGTTTGGTACAGGTCGGGTGGCGAGCTACCCTTGCTCGTCGACCGAAGATCTTCGCCGGATATCTTTGCTCGATCCCCGACTCCCGAAAGGTTGGTCACCGGTGAGGAATATAGTTCCCTCATGCACTCCGCCAAATATTACTTTACTCTATGCACTCCGCCTCCTACTTTGCGAGCAACGCTGCTTCGGAAAAAAAGGAGACGGCCGGACGCGAGAGGGCGCCGTCGCCGATCACACTGCATGTTTGCTATCGATATAAATATAAAGAAAATGCATCTTATTAGGGTAGGATAATAGAACACCTACCTACTGCCAAAGTGCATGGTTCGCCATACCAATCGCAAATTATCGCGGCTTCGATTTACGCTCGTTAGCGAACCAATGCGTTTGTGTCTACCACAGATCACCTTTCAATTGATGAAAGTGTGATTAAGTTTGACCATAATATTATTGTAAGAATTTTAAATTTAAATTTTATAAAAGACGAAATACCTTATTTCTTTTGACAAGATTGAATTAGAAGGTAGTTACCTACCGCCTCATACTTACTAAGTAAGTATTCTGTTTGGTACTTATTATCAATATCTACTATCAAACATACAAAATAATTACAGGTACCTACTGATAGTATCTTAATATAGTGTAAGTCATGTTCAGGGTTTATCAAAAAATATGCCGATTACTATATAATTTATTTATTTCATATAACACGTTTACATGTCATTGAAACATTGATTATAAACGAATACCTACACACGGATCAACATTAAAAATTAGGATAGGTTTTACCAGAGCGCTTAGCACAAGTTGCAAAAACAGCAATCTCTTCAAGAATTACATTGGTAGGATTAATATATTGTAAAGTATGTCATGGATTACACCAAATACATGAAATTGTGTTAAAAACAATTTAACTGTGACTAGACAACTATGTTTTATCGTATAAAATATTAACATCAATTCTCATTTAGAACTAGTATTATAAAATTGTAAAGATGTCACACAGGAAAAATCCGCGTATTGTTATATAAACTGAACTAGGTATGCACATTAAAACATCGAAAAATATTACATACTTAAACAAATTATCTATATGAGTAAAGCCTGAAAGAATACAAATAGTATCTAGATACTAAATTACATACACTTATAAATACAAAAATATTAAATGCAACTGATAGGAAACCTATAGTATTACGACATTAGGTCTATTTTTACCTGAGTGAGCTAGGTTGAGATCTACAGTATGGTTTAATAACTTTATTTTTAATGTAATAGGGAATTTAAGAATAATAGGGAATCTATTATTCTTATTTCTATTTTAACTATTTCAGTGTTTTCTAAATTTGCACCAGTAAACCTTTGCAAAACTCAAACTAGCTCCACATCTGCTCAACAGTTACAGGTAGCAATCATAAGACCCACAAGGAAATAAATGTGTTGTAAAATTAGTCATGACATATTAATACATTCCTTAAAATTAATAACAGTGTGTTACAGCTTCAGTAGGTAATAATGCTATTATGAGATCTTTAATGATTTCAATGTTTATTCAAAAATAGTAAAAGAACACATTTAACTTGTCTATTAAACATCAACCTAGATTACACATAAAATACTGATTACCAACATTAATTCATTTGAATAGAAACAATACATTTTACTGAAATATTATTGAATAAATAGGTAATTATCTGCTAGCTACTTGATTTCATCTCATGATAAAATAATTTCTTTGAAAGTGATTTTTAACCATTTTTATTACCTATACATTAAACTGGTATCTTATAACACTAAGCTCAATAGTTTGCACAATGCTTCCATGTCTGGATCATCATAATACAAATATAACAATACAAATTAGAAGCTTTTTTGACATTTGATATTGAAAGAACATTATACACTATTTATTTAAAAAATCCTTTGATGGACTGGAAAACATGGATATTTTATTGTGCATTTTATATACAGCATTTTACAATATACCTACTAACACTAATCAGTTTGTTTTTGTATTTTTATAATTTTTGTGATACCAATAAAACAATTGCTTAAATCTTTAACATCTATAAAACATTAAACATTGGGATTTATATATCTATCAAACTGGACACAAAAGATATTTTGAAATAAATTTAAAGACAGAATCATCATAAAATATTGTACCCACAATAAGAAAATGCCTTAATTATATTTAAATTTTACTTGTAACATACATTGGGTATATTTTTGTTTTATTTCACAACATAAAATTTTGAGTATACATTTTTTGGAAAGCTTGCCATATCAAGCATCTACAAAATTTACTAGCCTTCTCCGGCTGGTAAAAAATCGTCTTCCTGATATCACATAGCTCTATATGGACCTTGAGATTTTAAGTATTGGATTACCAGTGATGGTCCTGAAGATACAACTTCCGGTGGAATTGCTGTCAATGGACAGTTTTCAATGCTCATAATTTGTAAGCTGACACATAGGGCCAACTCAAATGGAAGATTGCATAAGTTGGGGTTATCATTCAGATACAAGGATTCTAAATTTTCCAATGTTCCAATTTCCTCAGGTAGATATTGTAGGTTGTTTTCGCCAACACTGAGGTATGTCAGATTAGTCAAATGACCAATAGAACGAGGCAGAGATGTAAGCTGATTAGATTGCACTATCAGTTTCTGTAAGTCATGCAAGAATCCAATTTCATTTGGCAAAACCTCTAACTTGTTTTCTTCAAGGTCAAGAACCCTTAGTTTCCTTAGGCTTCCAATACTAGGTGGTATTCTCTTCAGGCAATTGTTTGATAAAATTAACACTTCCAAATTTTGCAAGCATTGAATATCATCAGGTAATTTGGCCAGCTGATTAGTACCCAAGTTGAGTTCTACCATATTTACCCAGGTTCCAATGTCTAAAGGAAGGGATGTAAGTAAATTTTCTTTCATATTCAACTTTGTTACATTTTTAGCTCTTGAAAATATTCCATAAGGAATCTTATCAATTTGATTGTGTTCCAGGTTTATAGAGACAACGTTAGTAAACTGAGCTGGTCCTCCTGATGGGTAACTCCCAAATGAGTTACGAGAAAGTGTGATGCTAGTCAGTTCATTTAAGCTGGCTAAGAGACCATCAGGCAGCTGGGATATAGAGTTGCCTTCAACATTGAACTCATCCATGTGCTTGCAGTTACTGAGTGTAGCTGGAATAGCAGTCAGTCTATTGTATCTCAGGCCAAGCCGGGTTATTGACTGAAGGTTGCCAATAGTTTCTGGTATATCTAGGAGCTCATTGTGCTGAAGATCTAGTGTTGATAAATTAACACAATTACCAATTTCTTGTGGTAAATGCTCTAAATGATTGTGTGAAACATCAAATGTTACCAAGTTCACCAGTTTTCCAATGCCAGAGGATAGTTCTTTAATTTTATTCTCTCTTAAACTTAACATGGTCAAATTAGTCAGGTTAGCTATTCCATTGCCCACAACTCTGATTCTATTGAATCTTAAAAATAATGTTGTCAGTGATGTTAGTTTGTATACCACTTCTGGGATGTCATTGAGCTTATTGTGTCGCAAATCTAATACTTTCAAACTCTTCAAATTGGCAAGGGATTGAGGTAAACTAGTTAAAGAATTTTCATTCAATGCTAATGTTTGTAAGTTCACCAAGCACCCAAACTCTGCAGGAAGCAATGCCAGCTTGTTTCCATACAAATAAAACTCCACTAAGTGGGTTAGATCGCGTACATTCGGAGGGAGACATGTTATGGAAGATTTACTCAAATCCAAACGTTTAAGTCCTTCATCACGACATCTTTGGAATTCTTTGATTATATCTAGGTCAGCCTGTATGGGTTTATTCTTCTTGGCAGTGGGTTTCGGCTTGTTAGACTCAGGATGTTTGACGGTCACGACTTTAGGACGTGCTCCTTCAGCGTTAGTCAGCGACGCTGTGGATAACTTCTTTTCTCTCATGCTTTGATATTTATCCCTCGGGCTTACGGTACCAACAGAATCCAATGCTTCAGAATTTTCTCTCGACGAATTATCGAGATTCATTCCGTTCTATTCCAAGAACAGATAATAGCTTTTTGAAAATCTGGTCTTCTCAGTATTATTTACTAAAATACACTTGACATGGTTTTGTCATCTCATCGTAACAAGACACAAATCAATACCCTATTTCAGCCAGTCAAATGAACGACTTCCTGCACTCGTCTGCGATAACACAAGAATATAAATAGCACTTGTCGCAAATAACACACTGTAAACTTGATCTAAAGTTAATATTTCCACAAAATATCGTATTGTGCACAATTTATAATGATTTTCACAAAAACAGACTCAAGTCAAGCGAACGAAAATGGAATGGAATTCGATTCGATTCAGTCCGACCGACAGATTTCATTTCATGCAGGAACGACAAGTGACACATTTTTTGGTTTAATTTGTTAAGCACAAAGAAAATAATTTGTTAACTATTTTTACCATTAAATTGTGGTAATTGTACTAGTAAAAGTAGTAGTAAACTAAAAATGGGAGCCTTGTTTACTGTAAATGAAAATTGTATTTCTCAAAATGCAATCGGATAATCGATTCTAACTCTTTGTTTAGTTTGCTTTGTCTTCTTTTTGTCTATGCCTCACCATAAAGTTTTGATTTGCTGATGCTGTCGCTGCTGTCACGCTGTCAGTCAGTACTGTCAGCATAGTTTGATTTGTCAACAGTTGTTTGGAATTTGGAGGAATAGGTTAAACTAATCCTATTTTTCTTAATTTCTGTATAATTTGCCATAAAAATAAACTTATCAACCATGGATAAAAGTAAAGAAAAGGAAGAACAAAGTATCATGGATAAATCCATGAGATCTGTTTTCGGTACGTTGTGATAAAAAACTAAACATACTCTCTGATGGAAGTTGCAAACCACAGTTGCAAACGCTCAGCATTGTTATAAGTAAATCATAAATAAATGTATTAAATTTGTAATATTTCAGTGGGTAACATACCATACGAAGCAACAGAGGAGAAGTTGAAAGATATCTTTAGTGAAGTTGGTCCTGTTCTTTCATTCAAGTTGGTATTTGATAGAGAAACCGGCAAACCAAAAGGATATGGATTTTGCGAATATAAGGATCAGGAAACAGCGCTCAGTGCTATGCGAAATCTTAACGGATATGAAATTGGTGGGCGATCTCTTCGCGTCGACAATGCTTGTACTGAAAAGTCTAGAATGGAAATGCAAGCATTGATGCAGGGGCCTCAAGTAAGTGACTGTACATGGTCTATTGCAAATATAATTTAAAAAATACAAATAAAATTCATCACCAAATTTCATGTACAGTAAGCAATGCATTTTCTATTTTATTCAATCAATAGATATTCTCGCGCGGTTTCATCCTCTGCTTGAGTACATTTGAACATACCATTTAATAGCCTACAGCACTCAGAAAAATTGCACCTATCAGTGAAAGAATTTTGGAAATCTGATCAGCAATGCCAAAGATGAAATGGATTAAATAAAAACCTACAAATTAAAAAAAATCCTCTTTATCAATATTAGTATAGGTGAAAAGAACATCATTTTATTATTATTAATTTTGTTCAAATATTTTAGGTTGAAAATCCCTATGGAGAACCATGTGACCCTGAGAAAGCTCCAGAGGCTATCAGCAAAGCTGTGGCCACCCTACCTCCTGAACAAATGTTTGAACTTATGAAGCAAATGAAGCTTTGTATTCAGGTAACTTGCACTTACAATTATAGTCTGTAACATGATTGAGGAAACTTGAGTGTTATAGTTTGTGACATCCTATCTCTACTTACTTCTTTAGGCACTTAAGTATAATTCTAATTTCATAATTGTGGCTTAAATATTTCCTCATTGATATAGAATCAAAATGTTAGTGTGTTAATGCACAAATAAACATAGAAATTGCAAAAAGTCAGTTTAAAAAAAATAATTATAGTCTGTAACATGATTGAGGAAACTTGAGTGTTATAGTTTGTGACATTCTATCTCTACTTACTTCTTTAGGCACTTAAGTATAATTCTAATTTCATAATTGTGGCTTAAATATTTCCTCATTGATATAGAATCAAAATGTTAGTGTGTTAATTTACAAATAAACATAGAAATTGCAAAAACTCAGTTTAAAAAAAATATATTTATGGTAAGAATTTTTTTTAATGTTGGTCCATGCTAGGATTTTCTTCTGTGTCTGTCGTTTTCATGTGTGCGTTACATAAAATTTTTCGTTCACAACCCACTAAGACCCAGCCCTTCTGTGCAGGAATCAAACCCACAACATATTGTGGGGTAGTTGCCCAGCCACCGCGCCAACCATGCAATCTATTTAACGAAATAGCAACACCACATTTATAAGAAATGTTAATTGCCATTCAAATTAAAGTAGAAAAATTATTAATTGGCTGTTTGAATGCATTTAATAAATCCTTCCTTTCACAGAATAATCCCAATGAAGCAAGAAACATGATGTTACAAAATCCACAACTGGCCTATGCATTACTGCAAGCTCAAGTTATCATGAGGATTGTAGATCCAGCAACTGCAGTTGTAAGTAGAAGTGCCTTCAATAATAAACTATATATTTCACAGTGACACAATATAGCATTACACAGTATAAATAGTTGAGATTCTTTCTTTTCTTTTTTTTTTTAAGAAATGTTGCCCCACTTTAGGATTTTCTCCTGTGTTGTGGGTGCGTTTACAAACATACAATGTCACATACACATGACACCCAGACCCGAAACAACAATTTGTGGATCACGCAAAGTGTTGTTCCGTGCGGGAATCGAACCCGCGACACGTTGCAACCAGTCGGAAAGATTGTGAATGGAAGACATTTAAAGGGTTTTTTTTTTGTAGAGCATGTTACACCCAAGTAACCCAGTTCCGCCGCCACTTCAGCCAGGCGACAAGCCACCATCAAACCACTACATGCAGAACAACCCACCTCAGAGTAAGTACATTATTCATAAGAAACTTTGGTAATAGTTCAAAGATATTATAGATATATCTCTAACTAATTACCTTTTAAGCCTTTGAGTGCTTACAAAAACTGTTGAAGGCTAATCCTCAGCTAGCAGCTTTCATTTTGTTAATAAATGCTCCCAACCCAGGACAGTGTAGAAATGACTCATGTCATTTTGTATAAATGAAATCTCCAAATCCCTATTCCCTAAAAGTTCGGCAACGCACTCGTAACTTCCCTGTTGTTGTGGCGCGACGCTGATTGCTTACCATCAGGTAACCTCTCTGCTCGTTTGCTGTCCTATCACATAAAAAAAGCTTTGCATAATCAATTTATTGTTAATCTATGTTCATTCTATTATTTTTTTCCTTAGATCAACAACCACCGCCACAAATGCCGCCGATGCTTGCGACGCCTGTGCCACCACCAGCTCAGTACGCGCGTGAGTATTATTTCAATTAGTAATTAGTTATAACTAAACATTTACAAGAATATACACAGAAGCTTCAACTCGCAACAATATTTATTTATACAAAGGCTACAGGTATTGTCAATAGTCGACATTAAAGTGATGATGAAAAACCTTGGCACTATAATTCAGTATTTTGATCACTACATTCCTGATATACAAGCCCCTCAGCATTAAAAGGCTACTCAGCGTTAACTTGTTACTCCTCTGGTATTGCAGGTTTCCAAGGTAGTTTCAATACTTTTATGCAAATGTCAAAAACTATACTTTTCTATGAAATCTGTTTGAAACTCCAAATTATGATTTAGAATATTGTCATACTAATTTTACGTCAAATAACTTACTTATTTCTTAAAATTACCTAAAAATATCCATTTTAGTGTATAAACAGATCGGTGACTAGTAATTTTTCAATATTTTATTGTATTGGAATGTCGAGTTAATTTATTTTTGACCTAGCAAACTACACAATTGTGGCGCTGATAACTTACCACCATAATTTGCAACAGCTCGTCCAGCTATGGGTGACGTGGACTTACGTGGACGTGGACCAAGTGGGCCGCCACCCCTGCTGGACCAGGACATGCGCAGCCTGCCCCCCGTGCCCGCCCCGCACCCCGTGCCTCCACCACAGCATCATGCACAGGACACGTATGTATATGACATACATTGTATTTAATAATCTATACATTACTAGCAAACTGGGCGAACTCCGTTTCGCCACCAGATGTTTCCTGAATTTTCTTTGCTATGAACGAATGCAAAACCGTGGAAATCGATTCGTGCGTTCTGGAGTTATAGCGTCAGGAAGGAAATCCGATTTATTTTTATATAATAGATTTATTCTTCATCTGCTTGGTATTTTCATGGATGAAAAGATTCTTACGAATGTCAAGCTAAAAACATTTTAGGTCAAAAATAAAATTCGACATTCGAATTAACTACAAACGTAAAATGTGTTATATCTGTATATATTTATTTTTGTATATATTTATGTACGAGTATACCTATGTATACCAATTTTAAAGGTACAAAAAATAATTTGACTTGTATATAATTGTAAATTTTTCTCTCAAGTAATGCTCCCCTACCAGTGGAAAAACCACCAGAGCCGACGTAAGTGATAATTTGGGGTGTTTCACTATTTTATTATTATTATTGTTACATGTAGCTTACTTGATTGTGCATTATATGTTCGCTAATTACAAATAGGTTATTTATTATAACATGTTTTAGGTTGCGCTTACGAATTTACATGAAATATTAGGTTAATTATAATTCTCAATTTTTTGTACTTACACCTTTGGTTTTAACTAAATGTTTATTCCGATGCCAACGCACTCGGCAAAAAGAAAGTGCTTTTCATTGTCACTTAAAACTTAAAGATGACAATTCAAAAATAAATAACAAAACAGTGATAATTGTTTTAAAGTGCATTATTAACTTTGTATACAGGGGCAATCTTTTCACAACATTGAACTTCATTGTTTCAGTTCTTTTCTGATTACTTTAATTATTTTTGGAACAAAAGAGAAAACCAAAAATTTACTTATCATTTGTACAAGTTATCAAATTTATTAACAGATGTAATTCAAAATTCATACATAATAATTTAACGCAAATTTTCGAGTACCTAAATATTTTTTCCAAGTGTTTGGTTGTTATTATAATATACTTTATGTATGTAACAGTGGCTTCCCTCGAGACCCGAGGTTAGCGAGCATGCAGACTCAATCTTTCAACTCGGACCCGCGCGTACGATCCAACGACCCTCGCACGCAACAGAAGATTCAACAACGTATGTATCTATACTAATTTCTCTCAGCTTCCTGCTATTAGAAACTACAATCATCACTGCCAATCTATCTTCATTTTACCTACAAATCCGTTCAGCATTTTTTTTTGCTTGATTAGCTTGATAGGCTCACCAATGTAGGTACGCAGTTTATAACGTATGTTACATTTGTAATATTAGTAAGCCTTGAACTAAACGGCTAAAGTTATTATGTAGTACTAGCGCCCCGCCTTCGTACGAGTGCAATGCTCTTAATAAGTTTCTCCACTATTTAATAGATGTTATATACATATAAACACACTTCTTCGTTTGCTATATCCTTTAAAAAACAAATCCGTTGTAGAGACAGAGGAAGCGACTATACGCGACTATACGATGTATCACTACATCGTATAGTCGCTCGTCAATATTGTTGCACTATACTTATTATCAAATCAATAAATATGTTTGACTTAACGTACCTATCGATCGCTGTTTAGTGCTTTCCGATTAGTACGGGAATATACTGTATAATATTATAAATATTCAATTCTGGATAGTTTCCTCGTTCAAAAATTTAAAAAAAATATTACAACTTTTAAAAAATAAGGATTCTTAAAAATAATTCATTTATTTAGATGATATAATTTTACATTAAGAAAAATACACACGAATTTGCCAAAAAAAATTACAGCACACCGTCAAATAAATTCGTGGAAAATTGGAAAATTTATGTTTTTTATATTTCGTTAGTTGTAAACTACCGTATTAAGTACTAACAAAAAGGTACTCATGCAAAGCCAGGAGATATAACTAGTAAACAATACTCGTAAAACATTTAATTTTATGCATTAGAAGATAGATTGGAACAGTAATTTAAGCGCAACTAAATATTTCTTTTTTAATGTATCAGTCTGCCGCTAAAACTCCGACATTGAGGACTGATTGATAAATATCGTCCACAAATAAAAACAGAAAAAGTAATTTCTACGTTAATTATACTTTTAATTGATTTGGCAACACCTAATAAAATGTAAACCATTTTAATTACATATCACATACTCTGCCAGGCTGTCAATCAAACGTACTTACGCTGCTGTACGTACGCTGCCTTTCCATAAACTACTGAAAACATACAAAGGTTTCTTTTTACATACAACACAAGCTTCTACTAACTGCTTTATTCATACTGCTATGATAAAGAAGTAACCCTTGTTATTCCAGCTTGTAATCTGCACCTGTGCCAAATTGCCCACTTACTTGTGTCCTATTGAAAATAATTCAAACTCAAATAGGTACTATATTACATTCGTGTGTACATTAAGCGCATTATAAGATACGTTTAGTAAGTACCTAGTATTTCAGTCAGAGTACATACCAAAATACATGCGTCCTAAAATCAACGAAACTCCGTTTTCACAATTACAATATTAGATGGACCTGGTTTAGGTGGCAGGAGTAGAAACTTACCCTTACCATGTCGCCGGGGTTGCGGGGTAAGCGCAATGAGGCACCGCGACCTCGGCCCAGAGCAGGAGAAGGAACAGGTTTTTAGTCAGTAAGAGTCTGACACTCCCTCCCGCTCCGCCCTGGGCGGGAGAAGTCATTTGATGATTTTCCCCTCACAAAAAATCCTTACCATGTCGTAAAATCCCTGACATGGCATTAACTCCCAGAACAAATCAAAGCCAATTAATTTCAAATACATTATTATTTATTTTTATACTCCAACGCAGGACTTTGTCCGTCATTACTTTATCTATTTGGGCAGCAATCAAATATTTAATTTTGTTGCATAATCTAAAAAGTATTGTTAACTAGCCAGTACAGTCCAACTTATATCGATTTGTTTTTCTTTTAAACTGCAAGGGTCAAATGTGGAGTTCATAGGTGAGCTTTATGTAAAACATTTTTTTTTATCATTATCTTACAGAGTTCAATTTTAGATAAAATACGTCACTTTTCTTTAATATGTACTGATGACAAAACAGGATTGACTCCGGTCATTTACCATCTCAAAATAATTTTGATACCTACCAAAATAAATATTCAAAAACTGATTGTGTTTTGTTTTGGATGGTTTGTTTACTTTTTTGTCATTGTAAAGCTATGATGATAAATAATATAGATAAAGTATGTTATAAAAATATTGTGTAGGTATTATGTATCTGTATATGTGTAAGAATCGTATCTCATATATGGGTAAGGCCTACGCATTTGTCTATTTTCTAGCAATGAGTTTTATTACTAACTAGGTACTGCCGCGCGGTTCCACCCGATGCTCGGTTCCTATAAATAGGTCGTAGGGTGATGTTTAGAGCTTATATATCTATCAGTGAAAGAATTTTGGAAATCCAACCAGCGATACAAACTTACAAATTTCACCTCTTTAAAATATCAGTACAAATAAAAGAGGCCAGTTCCATTAATATCTAAATTTTACGGTTATTTTAATTTCCTTTAGATGTTAAATTGTTTATTTCTTCATAGAACAAATGCCGCCGGGAATGCCAAGCGCTGCACAGGCGAGAACTATACAGGGAATACCTTCTGGAGCTTCGGATCAAGAGAAGGTATGCATATTATAAATATCCCGTTCTTTGGTAAAATTAAACGAACACAAATTTACATTATGCCAATTTCCGCGTAACTCAAACTAGGCTTAATAAGTTTGATTGTGTTTAATACATTTCCGTGTATAATTCACAGGCTGCCCTCATCATGCAAGTGTTGCAACTCTCCGACGAGCAAATCGCCCTTCTGCCGCCTGAGCAACGAGCCAGTATTCTCATGTTGAAGGAACAAATCGCTAAGAGCACTCAACAGCGTTAACTAAACGTTTTACTCACTGAGAAAATAATATTAAGAATCTGTTTCGCCATTTCTAACTGGCGGTACTTCGATGTATCTATCGTTGTCCAAAATTATGGCAGTTATAATATTAAAAACTTAATCAGCAGTTCTGGAACAGGCCTTGACTATTATATTCTCAACGTGGTCATTTTCGACCTAGTGGTCGAACCTCATTGGGAGATCCTGAAAGCAAGTATGCAAATACTTGCAGAACCTTTATTTTGTACTCACAAAGGAGAAATGACTACTTCAGCTAAATAGCAGATATTTTATAACAGTGGATTAAAATAAAATGAATGTATGAAATAAACTCGAGTTTTTCTTAATAAGGTACCCACATCGTTATCTCGACCTTGTAAGCCTTAAACATTCAATAAATAAGTTAATAGAAAAAAAAGAACTGAGTTGTGCTAATTTACGTAGGTTCAATCTATCAATCGGTGTTATCGCGTACGTGATGTTTTTATCGTAGCACAATTATTTGTTGATTAAGATGAAGCGTGCTTGTATACTAAGCCATTCATTCAACATTCTCCTTTGGTGACGAACAGTTGTCATTGGGTAGGTATTTTTTTATTTACACCCCATAATATAGTGCAGTGGTAAAATACAATTATAACCTTGGAAAGTTGGGACTAAAAAAAACGAATTCTAACTTATCCTGGTTATGGCATCACGCGTGAACGGCTAGACATATTCGAATGTTTCCTTTTATAATGATGTTCCTATAAAATAAATTTTAGTTAAGTACAAGTGCATAGGTACCGGGAAATAGCATCGCTTTCCGTCATTTAAAACCGGTTCGCTAACTAAATATTATAGACATCCAAGCAATGGTGGATCGCTAGATACCCGTAGAAGATAAAAATTTTGTGTTTATGTGAATAAAAAGCATTCCTTGTATGACATCGTCATCATGTTGAACTATTTAAGCAAGTATTTATAACAGAATTTATGGAGAGAAAACATATATAGATGTGCATATAAGCTGATATTTGCTATTCTATTTTAACTTGATTACTTACTTTCCTATTACCTACTTATAAAAATTCAACTAATTAATTTATCAAAAAACCAAAAAAACTTAAACTGCATTTCGGATATCGTCAACTGTCCGTCGAGTAGTCGCCCCGTTCCCGTCTCCTAACCTATAACGAGCATCGGAAATGTCAAACACCTGCTTGCTGAATCATTTTGTTGGTTAGACAACACGTCGGATCGTCCGAATGACTTTCTTCAGTCTTTGTTTCGCTTGAATATCTTTAAATGACAATAAACTTTTAAATATTGGTTTAGATTAAGGTACGCAAACTTTTATGGTGTAGTAGTAGCAACTAATACCTGTTTGTACGGATAGCTTATCATTATTGTTAAGTTTAGTCTGAGATATTGTGTATGTTTTCTTGCGCACTCATTCGGTCGCGGACCGGCGACGAAGGCGAACGTGTCAGTTTATAACGTACGTGATCGCTTTACAATTTGCGCATTTTCCGCCTACTTGGTTATAAATAAACATTCGTTACCCGTGACTTGTGTTTTTGGCACTGTATTCAAATCATACAGACGTGGATAAATTTGAATTTACTTTCTATAGGCAAATATAATTTTGTAGTTTTTTTTTTATTTTTTTTAATACCAATACTTATTAATTTTATTTTAGGACTGCAAAATGAAGTGGGTTTTTGTTTTGGTAGCGTGTTTGTGTTTTTTCAATTCACTCGTGGATTGCAAATGGAAACATGAGCGACGAGAAAATCATTGGCGGGAAAATGCTAATGAGGTGACCACGGCATCTAGTTACAGGCAAGATCCCCCAGACCATACCAAGTTGATTCCTATGGCTCGATACGTCTTGCACAATGCAGGTAAGGTTGAGGCTCATTTACAAATTAATTCGCTTGTTACTTTGTTGTTCGGTGCGGTGACCGGTAGATATATCCGTCTAATAGCCACTAGCGGATTGCCCAACAAGAGAAGTCGGGGATTAAATTCCCGGATAAGGATAATTACTACTGGGATTTTGTCGCTTTTTCGAAAATTCTCAGTAATTAGCTCGGTGCCTGGATTTCGTGCCCAGTCTATAGCAAAAGGGTAACCTTTGTACCTACATGAGAAATAATAAGAAGTATATAAGTACAATGTAATTGCATATTTTTAATTGTCTTGAAAGATACACCTATCAAAAGTTGCGCAGAATAGGCATGACAAGAAAAAATCTTTGAATTAAATTCAATATGTAAAAAAATCAGAATGGAGCGGTTTTTCGTTACTTAGAGTCGGGAATTAAATTATTTTACACTTTACATAGGTACCACATCGTCACATAACGGGAAAAGGAATTAAATTATTTCACACTTTAAAAATACCAATTGACAATAGCGACTTGTTAGTTAGATAGGTAAGTTTACTTACAAAATAATGGGCAACATCATTAACATGATTTTGTCGTCAAGCATTATCATAAATATACTTACATAAGTATCTACTTATTTAATTTAAACATATTCTACTTCATTACCATCCCTATGCTTAAAAGGTTTCCATGTCGAATGCCGAAATTATGTAATAAATACCTATATCTTTCTAATATTTAAAAGGCTTTCCTCAAGTTTTCCGCTTGTTTAAAGATAAAACAGATACATAATAAGCTAATTAGATACATTTATTTTCCTATGGAAGAACCGATATGGACCACCTAGGGACTATTATAGTCGATATTTAATAACAATTAAGGAAAAACAGTATGTAATATCCTTAGTAGGAATCTACCGCGTGCGTTCGTGCAGCGGAATGTTGTTGAATTTAAAGATTTTAATTATGCAGATATTTAGTGTATGACGTCGTATAATTGTGTATGCTAAAAAAAAATTTGTGCACGCAACCATTGTGGAGAAATTCACCAAAAACTGATTCCGCTGGGCGAACGTTGTCCTGGCGGAACTTTTTTTAATCCATAGACTTTAGAAGAAAAGAGATGTATCCAAAAATTAGTGTGTATTTGTGTGTAATTGTGTATGTATGAATAAAACTAGTGCATGCATAAACTTCGGAGAAATTCAAGTTTCCGCTACGCGAACGTTTGGCCATTAGCTAGTTTTCATATAAAGCGCTTACATAGAGAGCTGTAGATTTTTACATACGTTGTTTTGAATTTGTGTATATTTGTTTAAAAAACAGATTTAGAAAAAATCGTAGGGTTTAAAAGATAAAAATATAAACGTAAAATACGCTTATTAGGTCTTAGCTCTTAAAGTATGCACTTTAGGGTCTAGATTTTCACGTTTATACAAACCTTGTAAGTGTCTGCAACATGTTGCCAAGTATCAATGATGTTCCGTTAGTAATTAAATAGTTATAGGACAAATTTACCATGAATAGATCACTGTTTACAAAGCAGTCAAATATCACGACGATTTAAATGAATTGCATGGTAAAATGTAATGCCAATAATTAGTGTATTCATTCAACTATTCACATGCAAAATTTCATGTCATTAAATTCAGTAATTAAAGAAAAACAATTATAATACTGACGAAGTATCGAAAACCTACATAACCCGACCAAGTTCGGATGATGATGAAAGATTTTTTTACCATACACAATTATACGACGTCATACACTAAATATCTGCATAATTAAAATCTTTAAATTCAACAACATTCCGCTGCACGAACGCACGCGAATCTACCCATTTTATTTACCAACTGTAGGTAGGTATATAGGTACCTATATTTAATGTAAATAAGTAGGTAACGAGACAAACTGCACGTAAGCGTTCATAAGTTATAGGTATAGGTAGATATAGGTAGGTACCAACGAGGTTATAAATACCTATGCATAACAATATTCCTCCTATATGGTTATTAGCAATGTATTACCTATGTGAATACCCAATTACATTATGTACCTTCCCATGTAAATACGGCTCTAAACAGCTGTGACTCTTAACCTCCGGACGGAACACCACGACCATTCTAGCTTTTTCCTAACTATTTGATGCTGACTGTAGGTACCATAGACTTGTTAGGTTGATAAAAAATGTATTTCTAACTACTGCATTACTTTTTTTACAGACTGGGCTTCGCTAGCTACGATATCAATCCTGCCAGCTATCGAAGGATTTCCTTTCTCCAACGTCAAGTCTATAGTGGACGGGTCCCTTGCTAACTCAACCGGAGTGCCTTACTTCTACATGTCGCCATTGGACTTCAGTGCTCGGGATTTGGCGGTATGTTTTATTATCTACTACGTAATTTAGGTATTATAGAAGTGACAAAAAATGATTCGTTTTTGAGTATTAAAGCCCTTACATATAGGTAAAAAGCTAAAATAGGTGACCGAACCGAACCGTCACCTTACACCATGACTAAGTTTCGGCAGTCGCGCGATTTCCATTAGAAATGTGTGACGAACCAAACATAAAACACCATTAAATAAGTACCTGTCAAAATAACGTTGACTTGTGTTTTGTTTTGAATGGTTTGTTTACTTTTTTGTCATTGTAAAGCTATGATGATAAATAATATAGATAAAGTATGTTATAAATATTCAGTAGGTGTTATAGATTGGTAGTGTAATAATAGTATCTATGGCATATGTGTAAGGCCGAAAGGACAACGCATTTGTCTATTTTCTAGCAAGCGAGCGAGTAGAGCGAGTTTTATTGCTAACTAGGTACTGGGCGCGGTTCTACCCGATGCTCGGCTCCTGCAGGTCGTAGGGTGATGTTTTAAAGCCTATAGCACTAAGGAACATTGTAGCTATCTATCAGTGAAAGAAATCGATTGGAAATCCGACCAGCGGTTCCAAAGATTACCCCTACATACAAAATACAAACCGAACCAAAAACACCATTGAATATGGTTCGAAGCGGCCAAAATAACGTTGACAGTAGGTATGGTTTGATCGTCCATTTATGCTTCTAAACTGTAAGTAGTTACTTAGGAACCTAATACCTAATATATTTCAAATAATAAGAAAACAGTAAATTTTACTGTTTCCCTATTAACAATAAGTATAGGGAACTTCCAAATATCCTCATTTAACTTAATCTTATCGGGCTTTTTACCAATTTAGGAATTTATCGTCTATATACTCCCAATGAAGCCAATTAAAACCATATCGTTATCAACAGAAAAACAGCCGTGCTACCGTTCTCGTATCCCTGGAAGAGACTAGATACTGCGAGAATAAGAAAATTGACCCTGAGGACCCAAGATGCACCAGGTTGATGCTGTCAGGAAAGATGAAGAAGGTAATTATTCTCTCATTTTTTCAGTGTAGTGTATAGAAATATGGCATAATCTGGAGATTTTGCTTGTATTCCTCCAGCTATGAACTATCTAGGACCCGTCGAAGATGATGGTATTAGATAAGCTTTGGAAAACGTTTAGGTAATGATTTCCTAAGCTTACGTTTTAAGAATGACGGAAGGGTATGGAAATTAAAAAATCTTTTTAGTCCGCCAATTAGATATAGGTACATTGGACACATATTTTTTTATTTGACGTAAAACAATACAAATTTTGGTAAAATGAACATGTATCTACCACTACATGGGTAGGGGCACTCACTAAATCGTATATCCCTGAAAGTATTTTGTCGCTTATGATGAAAGGTAGGTACGTGTCTAATGTTTTAAATTAATCTGATGCAAATGTCGTCCCTATTAGAAAAACGAACTTTATCAATCACGTGTATGACGATTTTTATGCAGTAAGTATTTTCATTAGGTAGGTACATAAAAGAAAATTAGGTTTTCCAACTTCGAGTCCTGCTGAGACTGTCCTGCATTCGCATACCTAACATCACAATATTAAAATAGCATACCTAAATATAAAATTAGGTAGGTACATTAACCAGAAAATAAAGAACGCATCAAACACGTATCTGTTTGCTTACAGATCGATATTTTGCACATAGATAAGCTTTTAAATAGAGTGCTTTGTTATCTGAACAATAGCATGCATTATCGAGCTTTAGACATATATATAGATACACACATACAAACATAGGGTACTTATAATAATAACGTATTTGTCCCCTGTAGATTAAGGAGCGCACGCCAGAGTACGTGTTTGCAAAGGCAGCGTTGTTTGAAAGACATCCGGCTATGGCTGACTTCCCCCCGGGTATGTACCTATTCATTATTTATAATAAATAGTATCCTCTGTACTTGAAGCCTTGTTTGGAGGGCAACTCATCATCTTTCCTTGCGTGAGGCGAGAGGACTGTCAGACTCTTACTGACTGACCCCCTCCTCCTTTTCCTGCTCCAGGCCGAGGCCTCGGTAACTTATTTCACTTGACCCGCGACGCCGGCTACTAGTTCAACCCTTATCTTTAGGTTTCAGTACTATCAGTCTTGTAAGCCATTTTAGTCTAAAACGCTTTGGTTATACTTACGATAAATAAATATGCTGATAATAACTTGGGAATTCACTTTTAATAAACTCGGCTGTTATATTTAAAAAAAAGTTTTACATTCTAGAGTAAAACAGTAGAAAAGGTCCGTCAAGTCTGACACCTTCGAGAAGACTTTTTATGACACCTATCAGTTAGCTCTCCAACTAACAACGCACCAGCGAGTTCGCTCCGGCAGGAAAAATAGTCGTAGCAATGTTTAGCTCTGTGTACTCGTATAGTTCAGGTCGACTTTAAAGACAGCGAATGTTTAACTGTGCCTAAGTCTATTGGCACTGTTAGGTAAATTAATTCATTTAGGTATAAACTTCCTTTTCAAGCCCAATCGTTGAGTTTTTAACTCAACTGACACTCAAAGATTAGCAATAGTAAAATAGTTTATGTCAAGTAAAAATATTTGTTAAAAAAACATTCAGGCATGCACATCAAGTTTTAACACGAAACTATTGACTAGTATTCAACTTTGTGAGAAAACCGTTAATATCCAGGTCCAATCCAGGTGCAGTCAGAAACTATAATCATTTTCATTTTTTTATTTACAGATCACAATTGGTTCGTAGCTAAGTTGAAAATCGCTCAAATCGCGATGATTGATTGGTTCGGAGGTGCCAAATACATACCAGTACGGGACTATCTAGCGTATAACTACACTGGCACAGAAATGCTACAGTTCCACAATAAAGGCTTACAAAAATAAATTGTCAATTAGACTAGCCGCATTTTAATTGACTTTGTTTCTTATGAAGATCAGAATAAGATTCATTATCGAACAAGAGACCATATGTACATAATTTATGTATTTGAATTGTATCACTGCGGTCAGTCTTAAGGTTCTTTATTTTCCTTGAGTTGCCAAATAGTATAATAAGATCACCGAGCTTAGAAAACCCTAAAACTTGTGTTTTAGAAGAAATCCTTTACTTAAAAGAATCCTCGCTTTGTTAAAAGTATGTATATGTAAGTAATAATAAAATAGTAATGTAAACCTGTGATATAAGCGAACAAAACAATACTATTTTCATACTATCATATACATATCATACAAAATGTTTGTTATACATAATGAAAAATAAAAAACATTACTGTAACAATAAATAGTTTTATTAATTTTATTGCTTATGTACATTTTTACAGAAAAATGCTTTCGTGGAATGAATTATAGATACATTTAACCCACTCCCTTAAAAACTGTTAAAATTAATCTTACACTACTAACACAATATAAAGGAAAATATGATTGAAAACCTTGTATTCCTTCATTAACCTTTTACAAACATGTAAACCCAATATGGATATATACGGTAATTAACTGGCCATTTCTGGACATTTCCATTGCATGTGAAGAAAAAACACACTGATATAAGTACCTTTTTTGATAGAGGAAACTCATCAAATGACTTCTTAAATCTACATGCCACGTAAATATTTATTTCATTCGTTAAACTTCATGAAGTATAGTATAAAGTAAAAACAATTAAAACCAAAATATTATTAAATTTATTAAAAAACCTTTTTTTGTAATAACGTCTTCTGTATCACAGTGTTCTGAGGTCGCCACTGTCGACTTAAAGGTAACTGTTACACGCCACTAATGGAGTCTTGGTGCAGAATAGGAAGAATTACATTACACTGCATCGATTATCGTTATAAGTATGTGTTGGAGACGTAAAACTATATTGAAACAATTTAAGAGCCTATGATCTATGATCAATCCCCTAACAACTTACAAAAAAGGTCGACATCGCACTTGTTACTTTTTTGGTATAACGAGTATCAACGGGTAGACATACCATACACATGCTCGTTAGCCTCATAAAAGAATAAGTTAAAATTGATGTTTTTTTTCTTCGATTTGAGTCTCTCGTTCGATAGTTCGCGTGATACTACATCTACTTGATTTTTTCCTATGACAATGGTCTCCTAATGACATAGTGGTCTGGACTTCTCATCTAACGATGTTACGTACCTACTCAAAAACAAAGACTAGTTTTTTAATGGAAGACATAGGTATTGGATAGTTTTATTTTAAAAATACTTATGGGAATAGAGGTACCTTATTAGACTGAGGTTCAGTTACTATCTACATCGGATTGCAAATCAATTCCCTCATGAATTGCCGTTGTTTTCATCAATCAATAAGAACATTACAAATTGTTCCTACTTATTAGTTTATTACCTACCTACTATCAGTTACTGATTGACTGTACGATTTTTTAACTGACAGCAATACCATTTTACTATTGTAACAAAAAACGCCTACGGACCCAGCCGAACTAGGGTGGAACGATTCGCCGCGTAATATTTTTTATCATAATTATGCAGGACAAAATCAAGTGCAAGCGCGTTTGACTCGGTTTTTTATTTCGTAAAATTACACGCTTTGAACCCGCCACGGCTCTGACCTAGAGTGGCCGTAGATATGTCAACTTTGAGAAAAAAAGAACTTCTTTTAAATGTTCTAGAAGTTACTTTTTTAAAGAGGGAAATTATCTTATATCTTCTCCTGTCCTGGCTAGGGCTAGAGGAAGTTTCAGATTCTTATGGACTAAAAACCACCCCGTTCTTTCTCCTGTTACGGGCCGGGGCTGCGGTGCGCTATTGCCCAACCCTGGCTGAAGCACCTACAACTTTTTTTGCTATACTTATTTCATCTTAGGAACTTCCACAATATATTTTTTAGACAATTTTAGTTAAATATACATAATTATATATTCTGTGTGTAACCAGTTTAGTTTAATAATTAAGCAGTCCTTCAATTTTGTTAAGGTCAATATCTTAGTAAGGTCAGTACGTCTTTTGGTTATTGACCCATCCCAGTTTCGTTTTCTTAGTCACCTAAATACGGCTCAATAGTTTACATTAGGAGTAAAATACCGGGTCTAAGTAGCCATAAGACTTATTTATTTTTGTTTACAAAGTTGCTATGTTATCGAAATTATTACCTATTTATTTTTAAATTGAGTGTTAAAATAGTCAAATGTCTTCTCGGCCTGAATAAGGCGAGAGGGAGAGTATAGACTTAAACTAACTAAAAACCAACTCATTCCTTCTTCTACTCCAGGCCGGAGCCGCGGAATAACTCATATTTAACAACTAGCAACTCTCACGCGGTTTTACCCACTGCTCAGCTCCATTTGATTGTAGCGTGATGTTTTATAGCCTATAGCACTCAGGAACATTGTAGCTATCCATCAGTGAAAGAATTTTGGCAATCCGACCGCGGTTCCAATGATTACCCCCTACATACAAACTTACAAATACCTCTTTCCCTATAATATTAGTATAGAAGTATAGATGATTTCTAAATAAATGTTATAAGGATACTTACGACTAAAAATACGTACTATGCGTAAAATTGTTAACATATTTATACTAATGAATCACTGGCTGAATGATCCATACTTAATTTAAATTCATTTCGAACCTACATTGGGTAGGTACCTACTTACATTTGAATATATAATCTGCAACACCAAATTGTTTAAGTAAAAAAGTAATATCATCATAAATAATATCAAATCGATTTATGTATCGAATAACTCAATTTAGTCGAATTAAAATGTCGGTAATCAACATATTCTCATATATTCTCTGATATACGTATATGTATTTACTTTTACTTATATTTATTTAATCAGTAGTGATCACTTTATTATTATGCATGACAGTTAGGGTCAATGTACTCTTAAAATATTTACCACTAGCTTTTGCCCGCGACTTTGTTCACGTAGAAAAGTTACTTCCTGCAGATTTTTGGAATAAAAACTATCCTATGTCCTTTCTCGAGTTCCAAACTATGTCTGTACCAAATTTCACAGAAATCGGCTCAGTAGTTTAGGCGTGAAGAAAAGACAGACAGACAGACAGACAGACAGACAGACAGACAGACAGACAGACAGACAGACAGACAGACAGACAGACAGACAGACAGACAGACAGACAGACAGACAGACAGAGTTACTTTCGCATTTATAATATTAGTTAGGATTAACTTATAAGTTTATTTTGGTAGTTTACGAAATAAGTGCGTGATTAACGACCTACACACAAACACAACCGGAAGAATATTATTGCCATTAATACTATTAATATTATACATAGAATTTATGTAAAGTCACTGAGACTTTGCCATACCTAATATTTTTTTAAGTTAAATTGCAACTTTATATCTTACAAAATAAGGGTTATACTATTTTAACGTTATTTAGTTGAATTTTTTTAAAGTACATAATATAATATTGTACATAGTATATTGTGCAATGTCGATCGCTGATTGTACAACAATCTATTTTCGCATAGGGATGATGACAATTATTTAATTATTAGTTAAATTTATTTATAGGATCAAAGCTCAATAACACATTGTGTATGTGAAATTGTGTTTGTATACTCACCTACGACACAGGAGAAAATCCAAAAGTGGTGCAACGCTTTTTTAAACAAAAAAAAACATCGAAATGTCGTAAACTATACTTGAATTCGTTTTATAACAGCTGACTTCAGCATTTTACCCGTGTGAACCAATAAAAATCAAATATGTATCAAATATTTCCACTGCATAAAAATTTAATAGTGACATCATCATATTCATCGTCCCTAATACTGGCTAATCTATAAAAGCTGGACTTTCCCATGACAGTGTACACAGGAGGCGATAGGTCGTACCGTGTTACCGCTGCTGCTGTACGCGTGGTGTACCAGAGCATTCACTGGTGCCTCACTCACCTTTTTCACATCCAAAGGTGTTGCCATAACCTGGTATAGTAAAAATGTTAGTGTTAAAAAAGTTTTGCAATCGCATTCATGACTCACGAATGCGAAAATGTATTTGTAATAGAATTAAAATTGTCTAAAAAGAGTATTCAACAATTTAGACTCTATGCTGCAAATTTAATTAGTCATGGAATACGGTAGTTTGCAACTAGTCAAATTCAATACTTTTATCCAAACGTCAAAAACGATACTTTTCTATGAAATTTGTATGAAAAACTGAGCTATGACGTCATAACATTTTTGCGTCAAATAGCTTACTTATTTCATAATAATTAGCTAAAAATATCTAAAACTTCGTGTATCGATCGATCGATGAATAAAACTATAGTTATTTTTCAATATTTTATAGTATTAAAACATCAAATTAATTTATTTTCGACCTAGGAAACTACTCAATTATTGACCCTCCGATTTTTAGAAATTATAGTTACCTTAGCAGCACTGACAAAGTAGCACATATACCTATTATTGTATTTTATAGAAAAGGTCAATAGTATTTTTCTCGTCCTGGATATAATTTTCTAGTTTGGACAGATTTGTAGTCAAGTAGTCAATCCAATAAAGCTCTAGGTTTCAGACTTATGTTAAATCAAACATGGAGTCATGTGTCTAAAAAGTAAATACAACTTACAGATTCCGCAAACTTCTCTCCTTCTGTGGCTGTGGGCAAACTATTCAAATGACTGATATCTTGTTTTTCAACCGAACTGCTTATATTTTCAGCCAGCTTCAAATTCACTGAAGTCATGTCTAAGATATTTGTTGAATGTGGTATCGTCGCATTGAAGTTTAGGTTGCCAATGGGTCGATTGTACATTTTAGAGTTTCCTGTGTATTCAGTTATGGCGATGTTTTCAAGCCACTTCTCATGTAGACTGTACAAGTTTTTATAAGTACATAGCATCATATCCCTTGCCCTATATCTTTCGTCAAGCAAATTTTTTATAGCTTGTTGCAAATTATCAGTCTTTTCATTCAATAATTTCTTACATTGTGCTAGTTCTTCAACCATCAAACTGAAATAAATAATAATAATAAATATATTACATTAGTGAGTCAATGTTATTGGCCTTAACTTGTACAGTCACCACACTGTGGTTATAAACAAGTTTAATTTAAACATTTGTTTAATAAATTAAATAAGTAGGTTTGTTATTTAATGTAAATTACCTGCTAGCCAAGAATTTACTTCTCCACACTTCACACTGGCCAGCCAGCCATTCTGTTTGTTCCTGGAAACAAATTAATTGTAAATGTACCTACCTACTTGTACTTAACATTTAATTTTATTATTTGACTCCCACAACGTTACACAAAAAAAAAAAAAAAAAAATCATCTGACAGTTATTCTGTTTACATAAATTTTTTTCTGTAACTGTTAGTCACTTTCTTTTATTTTGCATAGGACTAAAAATCACTGATGATAGTCACATTTAATATTAACCAGAATCTAGTCATTTTGCATGTTCCATAGCCATTTAAAACTTTTTTTAGTGATTTAAAATTGTTCTTGCAGGTCTGTTGTGGGAATTGTATGTGTGTGTGACAATATATATTTATGAACGCCAAATACCTAGTTGGGGCAAATATTTTTATCTTCTGGATAATTAAAGATCCTATATTTTAACCAGTATAAATACCTGATGAGTAGACAAATGTTGTGCAGAACTGAGTAAAGCATTAGCTAAATGTTTTTTATCTTCATTCAGTGACTGTACTTGTGTCTCAAGGTCCTCACCCATAGACGCCACCAGCATTGTTTTCAACTCTTTATTGACCTGAAAGATAACATAACATAATTTATAAAAAAAAATTTAATTACTATAAACTATGATGCAATTCTACTTCTACTCTTAATTTTGTTATTAAATTATTTTCTGCTAGCCTCATGTATATTAATTCATTTGATAAGATTATGTTAGTGATGTGTTTGCTACATTTTAATAAATATCTTTCTGTTAAGGGAGTGTTGTTTATTAACAACACCTAATTGTTTTGTTGTTTGATCATACAGCATGTTTTGTAACAATACAATACTCTTTGAGTTCTGAACCTAAGAATATCCTTTCTAGTTTCAACATACTTACCAACATACTTACCAAAAACACTATTATTAAGTTTTATTAGTGTATTCATAAAAATCTTTGAATATTCACTATCTTGAGAGATAAAAATACAAATAACAAATCACACACATTAACTGAGAAAAGCTCTACAAGTCAGAGTCACAACCTAACTCTTATTCATGAGAAGCAGGCACATCTCGTGGCACACTGATTTCAGTTAATTCATATGAGTCAGTCAAGTAAAAATAATGTTACATAGGATAGGCCCTTACACATGCATATAGTGGTTTATTGGTAATAACAAAAATAAAAGACAAACCTGGACTTGTTGTTTCAATTGCTCTTTTAGTGATTCATTTTCACGTGTCAAGCTATCAATCTTTTTTTGCATTTCAATTTTTTCTGGACTAGGTGCATCAACATCTCGACCAGTCTTGTCACCTGTAGAGTTCAACTTAGGACGAGGTTTAAATTCATTCAAATTTGTATTCATTTGAGACATTTGAGTAATCAAAGTGTTAATGTCCATATTATTTCTAGATTTTTTCATTTCTTTTGATGCTATTTGAGGTGTCATCGGCTTCACAGCCGCTGGGTAAGGCTCGTATGGCACAAACTTGGGTGTTTTCATGTTTATGGACTTCTTTTTATCTGATTTTATTACTTTTGTAGCGTAAACTTGTACTAAACGAGTAGGTAAAGCGCTGCCCTTCCTTTCTGGGGTTCTAGTAACGTAAGTACCAACATCCTGAACTCTTTCCGAAGTGTTTTCGTCAGATTCCATTCCATCACCCGCCGTCCTTGTTTTACTCATGATTTCTACAATAGAATGATTAGTTAGATAATTAAAGTAATCAGGGCATGATAACGAGTACACAATCAGCAAGACGCATATATTAATATAAACGAAAGCAGCAGGAAATAGGCTAGCTAAAAAGGATGAGCATACTTGGATTGAAAGTATTGTATAGTTTATCCATATTTCTTAGATAAGAAGTGGAAAAAGTCAGATCATAAAATACGGAATCTACCGAGGTTTATCTTTAAATAATTCTTTCCAATTTGATTTTGTTTTTACTTTATCAATCACTATAACAAGTTTTGATTCGTCGCCGTCGTCATAATAATTATTATTGTCACTGTCACACGTCAGCTGATGATAGTGTCAGAACACCAATAATGTCAATGTCAACTGTCATTATGCAAGTAAATTTAGCTTCGTTCAAAAACTGCACTGCCTCATAACCGATAATTGTCTTACTGGACCTAAGACTATTTTCGGTATTTAATTTTTCTCCCAACAAACTTATACTGTAGTCTACAATTCTTTTACTTTTACTTACACACTACACAACTATATTTTGCCGAAAAACTTTTGGGTTTTAGATACGTATAGTAGTTCATACAAGGTATTTAAATCTTTTCTCTTGTATTTCCAAAGTTTAGCAATCTGAAAATCGTGTTTAAATGACAAACACTTTAACAAATACGCAATTTTTCTATATTAAATTAAAATAGCAAAATTGATAATTTGAAGACAACATTTATTTATCAAAATATTGCAATAAATTAAAATACCTACAATGACATAAACAATTCATTAAGGCTTTAGAGTAGCTTCTAGTTCTCCATTTGACTGTAGCTCTTTGATTATGTCTAACCCTCCAATAAGTTCTCCTTTAACATACAGTTGTGGGTAAGTAGGCCAATCTGAATATTCCTTAAGGCCCTGGCGCACTTCTTCATCAGTCAATATATCAAATGTATCATAGGACACCCTAAAAGGAAAATATGAGTATTATTAAAAAGATAGCAACTTATCAAAATAACTTGATTCAAGTATAAAAATAATTGCATGTTTCACATTAATGTGCCAGCAAATTGATTTTTTATCAACTAAAGTAAATGACAATATTTTAGTGTGAATGATTTCAATCACAATGAAATGAAATTATGTAACATTAATCAAAATTTTGTATGGTATGGTCTTACCCGGTTCCATTAAGAATTTGGATTAAAGTTTTACTGAAGCCACATCTAGGCTGGTCTCTATTGCCTTTCATAAACACCATAACATCATGCCTATTAATCAATGCTTTCAGTCTATCTTCAAGTTTCACAGGAGCAACATCTCCAAGGGCAGTCTTATTAGCACTCTGAGCTTTTACTTTGGAAGATATTTGAGCTGCATCAGCACCATCCACCCTGTCTACCTGTGCTCCATTTCTGAACAAAATGACTGTTGGTACAGAGTCAATCTGGAAATATATAAAACAATTTATTACATTGGCCACTATTTATAATAAAAAATATTTCATGGACTTTGATACCAACTGTACCATTTATGTACTATTTGCACAAATTTTTGAGGATGCTCATACATTATTTACACAGGTGTTCATCTTTATATGATATTTTTGCATTATCATTCTCATTTACACATTAATTATGCTATGTGTCCTAATTATCAGAATGATATTTACCTTGTACTGCAAAGATACTTCAGATAACTTTTCAGCATCACAAATAGCTATTTTGCTTCCACTGGATTGTACTTCAGGCAGCTTCGCCAATTCTTTTAGAACCTCTGTGACTTGCTTGCATTGTTCCGCCCAGTCAGCAGAAAAATGGACTACTGTTAAAACAGGTGTTCTGTAAATGTTGAAAATAGTTTTTTTATTAGTCAACAGTCTTGAAACACAAAACTTCTAGATAATATCAGTTCAGTAAGCCAGGTTTAGTCATGCTATCATACCTTTTATCAATAAGATATCAGTGTTTTGTTTAGTTCAATAATCTGATTTTATCAGAGTAAACAAAACATGTTAAACTTACTGCCATGAGGCAGGCATGGCTAAAGTAACGTAATTTATGTTATCTATAGTGACCTTAAGAAAAGGTGAAATATAATTGATAATTTATTCACTATGAAAAACAATTTGGATTTTATGAAAGCAATCTTGTGTAAGATACTAAAATATGTGTGGATAGTGTTGGAAAAGTATAAAAGCTTAAACGATAAATACGACTAGAAAATAAAATAGAAAAGGTACTTCAATATTCAGCCCCTTTAAGAAGCACAATAAATAAAATTATCCAACAACTGCACTACGATATTCGTTACCTTTGAGTTTGTATTATATTTAAATATACTTTCACTTAGTAGTTCGATAAAAATACAAAGTGATACTTTCCTTACCTAATAAAATTTTGAAAATTTTCGGCAGTGTCTAAACTGGTGACAGACATGACGAGGTTGGATTGGGGTTAAGTTATACTTTAGAACAAAAAATAATAAAATAAAGTGTTCTATTTTTATGTCAAACTTTAGCGGCACTCTTGTATCACGTAACACGACCACGTCTTTTCAATGCTTTTTATCAAATATTCGTATACGGTTTTAACAAAACTCCGGAAAATGGAAATCCGCTGTGTCCGGTGCCGAAACAAAATTGACAATTAATTAATTAAAAAAAGATTGTGTTGGTGTTGTTACATATTATAATCGACTAAAATATTTTGCAATTAAATCTTAAACGACTAAAATAGGTAGAAACAAAATATGAAACTTATATATTTTTCTTTCTTCTTATAATACATATAGTATTATAAGGAGAAAGAAAAATATAAGCATGGTGGCAGTACCTAGGAATCACCGATTATATTTTTAAATAATTATATATTTATTATTTATAGACAGACGCTATTACTATTCCGCACGTTTTGGTGTTTTGTTCTGAAAAAAGATTTATTTTGGATAAAAAAAATTGTATTGTACAGTCTTTAGGGTGCAGGTTCGAAACCTGGCAACAATGTGACTTTTTCTATGTTATATTATTATGCACTTTCTATGATTATTATTTTAGACACCATCATACCACTGACGTGACGTGCGAAGGTTAAGAACCGTACTTTCCTGTTGATTCCACTTGCACGCGCTTGTTTCCAACTTTTGGAACAAATTAGAGCATTATAAACGATCCTGATCGCATGCAGGGTACGAAAATCTTTCGTTGAAAGGATTTTTGCTACTATGTCCACAATATAGTAGTGGTAAGCTTTTGGTCACATGCTACTTTAGATCTTTCATGAAAGTGGTTTTGTAATGCTACTATTTTTTAAGGTGTATTCAAAATTACTAGGGTAGGTACCGATTTGGATTGAATGTCATAGGATTTGCAATTCGCAATATGCGCGAATTTGATAACATAACAGCTATCAAACGTATACGTACGTAACGTACGTATGGTGTACATGACCCTGGTTAGAAGTAAGCTAGAATCTGCATCTCTAGTATGGAATCCGCATGAGGTTACTTACGCTCTTAAGCTGGAAAAGGTCCAAAAAGCGTTTTTGAGTTTTTTTTACAAAAAACGGTTTGGCTATTACCCTTTTCTGTACCCCACTAAGTTTTTGTTGGGCATGTTGTCTCTTGAGGTGAGGCGTAATTATTTCTTAATAATTATGAGCTGTAAGACGCTGCGTGGTAAATCTGACTGTCCAGAGATAGTAGGACAGGTGGTGCGGTTATCAGTTCAACATCCCATATTGGCTGTACCAGAGGCACGTATAGTGGCCCATGCAAATTCTCCGCTGGTCCTAGTTCTCACCATGCCCAATTCTCTCCTGATGTCAGCGCCGGAGTGTGATTTATTTGCAACGAGATGAATAGATCTGTGTCGTAATAGATATTGTGAGAGGATGGATGATAGGTAGGTAAATTAAAATGTTTGTTTTTTTGTTTTTAAGATTACTATGATTACCAATCTTGTTATTCAGTTGTATTAAGTTCTTTTATTTTGTTTTTTAAATTTGTGTTGGTTTTTTGTATTTAATCCTAATTGGTTTTTTAAGTACCTAGATAATAGTGTTTATATAAAATAAACTAACAGCATAACTTAATGGCGTAAGCTGTAATGTTGTATATGTACATTTTATTCAACCTTGTTATTCATTCACATTTCATTTGTATACCTCGCACATGTCTTGGTAGCATCACGCTGTTATATTAAATCTGTCATATTCAGAGTTTTATTTCATTATAGTCCTAGAATCATACCTCAAACTTATTTATCTAATAGTCATCTATATAGATAGTAGAATATCTGTCATCCCTATTTATTCTGACGGCCCGTTCATAAGTTATAGATAACTGTCAACAGTTTAAGTGTCAAAGAATTGTCATACTTCTTATTGCTGCAGGTCTAGTAATTTGAGGTTACTTCCTTCGAATTATGCTGAAAACCCTTGCATTTATTTGAAAATAGTATTTATTCGTATTAATATAGGCGCTCAATATAAAATTTAGTAACAATGGCTACAATATCAAGTGCACCAGCGCCAGGCATGCAGCAAATTGATTTATCCAAGCTTAATTTACAGCAGTTGGCTCAACTTAAACAACAATTGGATCAAGTAAGTTTAAAAATACACAATGACTGTCTGTGCTTGGAAATGTAACACGACCCTTTTACGAGATTTTGTCATATCAAAAAACTAATCTCTGTATCTTAAAATATCTTAGGTTATTAATGAGAAATTTCTACAAACATAATTTTCATTTATTTTTAGGAAATGTCTGTATTTCAAGATTCATTGCATACACTGAAGATAGCTCAAGGGAAATTTATGGAATCTGGTGAATGTGTTGAGAAAATGACCCCAGAATGTAAAGGCAAGAGCATATTGGTACCGTTGACTGGTTCTATGTACATCCCTGGCTCAATAGCAGACACTGAAAATGTGCTTATTGATATAGGTACTGGATATTATGCACAGAAAGTAAGTAATATGGTACAAGTATATAATTATGAAATTTAATACTTCATAATTAAATTGTATTTATTCATCCTTAATACTTTCAATTTAAATAAATAATGTGTAAATGTTATTTTTACTCTTCAGGACATTGCTGGTGCTAAGGACTATTTCAAGAGGAAAGTTGCTTTTGTAACAGAACAAATGGAAAAAATTAAAGCACTAGGTGTAGAGAAGTCAAAGGTTCACAAAGCTATCTGTATGATGATCGAGATGAAGTTGCAAGCTCAAATGCAGGCAGCAAAGCCTTCAACCTCATAAATACATATTATATACTCCAAAAGAAACAATTGCTTTACTAATTTTATAGCCTTGGGATAAGGCTTGAATATTTAAGCATTAGAATCTTGGCATTTACACTACACAACATATAAACAGGGTTGTACTGATCACAATTTTTAATGAAGTTGTTATCATAAAAGAATTGGGTTTTCAAAATTAATTGAAGGAAATTTTTTACACATTTGTAATTTAAGGAACATGGTGATTCTTATTATATTTGTACACTAATTTGAATGAAACTAACCAGATTCTAATGTTGTCAGTATAAATAATTTAAAGGATGCAAAAACAAAATGTTTCTGTTTAAAAAAAAGTTTGTATACAAAATGTATAACAATGTTTAGTTAATTGATCACTACTTTGTTAATCTCTCTCTATGTCACATGAGCTAGTTTGATAAATAAATTAATATCAGTATTCTTTATTTCTTTATTTTAGTGATATAAACTAAGTAGTTATTTCAGTTTTTTTTTTTCTATTTACTTACCAGACACATTTCTTGTATACTTACTTTCAAGGGAATGTGAAATACACATATTACAAAAGGAAGGGATATAGAAGATTGCCTAAAGGTTTATAAACATTTCATCCTGTTGTTTACTGATTCTCCATTTACGTAGTTTTTTTCTGATATCAATAAGGCAAGTTTTTTATAATAAAAAAAAATAAAAAAATTATGTATTATTCCTGAATGGTAACTGAGTCGCCAATACATTGTTGTCGAATATACTGTTAGGTACTTACTTATTAATCCAAAACTAAATGTGTGAAGACTGTGCTTGAGGGAAGTGCTGCTACATATTAGGCATGTCGAGAAATAAAAAAGGTGCTCTTAAATAAGAGACTTGGTCTTGGTTTGTCTCACGTTTCGGTTTGTTTTAGCGCTCATTGTGATGGCGCTCGATGAGATTGCACTACTCGCACCGCCCTAGGACCGGCCCCTACCAAGTGATGTGGCCATATTATAAGAATTCAATGTTCTTTTTAATTTTCACTAAATTATGACTATTCGGGTCTACTTAGTCTAGACCATACTGAGCCCATGAAACTTTTCAAATCAGTCAGTCTATCTCTTCTGTTTTTATTTGAACCTGACTTCTAAAAGATCTGGGATAGCAGTTTTTGCAAGATGGCAATGTAATATAAGTCACGTGCATTAATACTAAAGGACTTAAAATAAAAGTAGATAACATAGTGACACCAAATGATTTATTTTTTTAATAGGCCAAAATGATAGAGCTGATGATATCTACAATAATAATGACTTATAATAAACTATCTTATAATGTATCTACAGTATGTCTTATAGTCACAAAACAATATAAACTAAATAAGGCAACGACTATTCCTTAAGTTTGTAAACAGTTTCTATATGTGTCGTAAAATGAGTTTTTTTTTTAATTTAAATTTCTCTTATGAACACGTGAAAAGGTGTTTGGATACAAGATAAAGATTTAATAGTTTGTAAAAATGTACATTGATATACTTTTAAATACAATTCCTTTTTACTTTACACCAACAGTATCCATTATCCGTATATGTATCAAACAATTTATTTACCAATCGGAAAAACTGCTATATGTAAGTATATTCCATTTACGCGTATTTCCAATTTGCTTCACTAAGTCCACCACCACTCTGGCAAAAAATAGACTGCCTAAAATGTACCTATCAAATTTGGTAAGGCTGTTTACACTTTATATTATAAGATTCATTCACTCACTATTAGGATACGCTAATATTGAGGTGGGAAATGTTCATACTTGTGTAATCTGCTCCATTAAATCGATAATAAAAATAGGGTAAATACCAATGCATAATCTTACGCAGTCTATATTATAGCATGGCCGACTTGGTGGGAATGAAATGGAAGTACTCTTCATTTACAATATTTTTTGAATAATTAAAATAGTTATTCCACAATTAGGCATTTATTTTATTTCTGTAATTATTTTCGATATCGATTTTTACGCATCAGAGTAAAAATTTAGATTAATAATTATCTATTACAATAATTAATTACCTAAGACGAGTATTTATATACAATTTATTACATTACATCATTTATTATAGCAACTATAATATAACAAACTTATATCGGATTAGGATTAGTCGTGGATTCCAAAGTCAAACGACATCGCCTTGGGCGAACACTTCGAGTTCAACAGTCAACACCATAACCCTTATATTAAACGTTCCGTACACAGTATTATAAGTAAGCTTACACGAACAGATCACTCGCCTGCTCGGCGAAGTCCTTATCTCAAATGGTGTAATATTCTGGTGCGAAATCGTTTGCGAGATTGCTGAGGAAATGGAAGTCTGAGGAAGAGTTAGAGTTATCCCCGGCAGGCGCGGCGTGCGTGGCCTCGTAGAACTGCTGGAATGAACCGTAGCCGTCGGCGCACTCCGCGCCGCTGTAAGCCTCGCCCGCCGCGCCTGCCGCCACGGCCTGTGCACCTGCCGCCCCGTATGCCGCTGCTTGTTGCGGGTAAGCGTTCCCATCGTAGTAGTTCTTCGAATAATCTGTTCCGTGTGATGCTTTTTGTCCTTCAGTAGCGTAGTAGTTATGACCATGATCATGTTGAGTGCCTTCGTGGTAATGGTAGCCATAGTGACTATTTGCATAGCCCATATGCTCTCCAGTGTAGCCCTGCGATTGATCATAACCAGGATGACCGTAAGCTACTTGATCTTTCCCGTAACCTGGATAGCCATAGTTTTGATACATTTCGTGAGGGTATGCTTGCCTCGATGTTATACCGTTAGTAGTCCTCGTGGAAGGAGAACCTTCCTGTCGAGTGTGCTGCTGATTCCGCACGTAGCTGTGTTGGTCAGCCGATTGTATGGCTGCACCGTATCCTTCATAGTTTCTGTTACCTTGTGGATATTGTGTGAGTTTTCCAATAAATTGTTTGGAATCCATCCGGAAGTCAGGGTGTGGTACAAACTGTCCTGGCGGCGCATTACCGCGAATAACGTAGGGGGGCATCGCAGTGGATACAGACTGGGCATGTGGCGGCCCTGGTGGGGCATTCGGGGGTGAAGGCCTAGGGTAATGACCTAATGGACTCGGATGCATACTTGAGGGAGTCCCTGGCGTTGAAGATGGTGTCAAGTTAACCGATGAGAATTTCCCATTATCCGGAAGACCAGTTACGGGACCAAGGCCGTCTTTTGAGGATGATGGCGACACTTTGCATGTCGCATCCAATGAAGGAGATCGCTTCCTGGATTCTTGCTTAATCCTCTTTGACAAATTTCGTGGAGCAGCAGTCATTGCGGTGATTGGAGGATGTGCGTCACGTGAATCGTCTTCTGCAAGTTTGTCCAAAGAGGAAGACGAAGCCACGCTAGAGGCGCCGTCACTCGCGAAGCTGTTGTTGTTGGTGGCACTTGGCGTATTGTTATTTCGTGTGCGGGATGCTAGCTCCGGTAAATCTTCAGCTGGAGAACAAAGAGCTCCGGGAGGTAGTTCGCAACCTTGACAACTCTTTTTACCAGATAGCGGTCCATCATCATCCAGAAATTTGTCGAGGCCTGTTTTGGAACTTTTACCACCTTCTGAAGTAGTGGAGTCTTTGTCGTCTCCATCTTCTGTCTTGCTAAGTGTTTGCCTCTTGTGCTTCATGCGTCTGTTTTGGAACCATACTTTGACCTGTAGAATAAGAAAAACATTAAATGAAGCTAAAATCAAATGTGTATTGCTTAGGTCTAATTAAAAAAGTGGGGTCTAATATCTTATGCAAAAATTTTTAATTCAGTTATTTGCTGAAATTATTTTTTTTAATCAAAATTGCATCGTTTGTAGAAAAGTCCGTACCTATCATAATTTCAGCTTGTATAGATAACTGTCTGACTTCGTAAATGTTAATAATTTTAGGTCAATATTATTATATACATACTTAGTTGTTTTTAACATATTACTTAAAATAAAATTATTAAATAAAAATAATATTGATTATGGATGTTGAATCCATTATCGTCCGTGTTGCAGTGCATCATGAGTCATAGAATTAATTAATGCGCAAGTGTTTCAATAGATGGCGCCACACAACTGTAAAATGGAAAAGAGAAGGATATTGAGAATTCACTTGATGCAGGTCCGACTGGCAATTTATAAACTGTGTACTGAAATGGTGATTTGGGAACAATTCCGATATTATTTATATAATGCCTAATTAATTAATGTCCCTTTACAGCTAACACCAGGCGTGTTTCAAGACGAACTGTCCTAATAGTTTGTTTTTAATCAATGTTTTTAATACATTACCTGTCTCTCAGTGAGATCTAGCGAAGCTGCTATCTCAATCCTTCTCGGTCGGCATAGGTACTTATTGAAATGAAACTCCTTCTCCAATTCCAATAGTTGTGTGTTCGTGTAAGCAGTGCGCAGCCGTCGCGGCAATCCATTTTCTGTAATCAAAGTAATCGAACTCAATAATTGCTCGAGAGTGCTTTAAAACTATTCCATTAATGTTTTACAGCTTTAATTTTGCCCCATAAAGTATGAACGGCACGCTTCGAATTAAATGTTATAGAATGCTATTCCTGGAAGCTTTCAATAACATGGCTGTGGGCCGGCTCGCGGCTCGCGGGTACGCTTTCCTTTAATGTAATAACTTGATCGCATGTCAAAGCACCGCCCTTGACGCCATTGTGTCGAAACGCTGTTCTTTTTATTTTACCACAAAATACGAATTGGAATTCGAAATTCAAATTACAAAAGGGCGGCGAATAATGGGGCGATCGCGTTCGCGTGATGGCTCGGCCGCGGGGCTCGCGATGTCATCTGTGCAGTGGTTGTGGGCCTTGTGTCATTCGCGATAAGGGTTATTATTTGGTGTTGGTTTTGTTGATAAGGTGGGGTCGGTTCGTGTTTGATTGACGTGTTCGTCAGGTCTCGCCGTTGCTATTGGACAAGGGCAGCTGTCAATCAAACCTAACGCAGCCCTTGGTTCTGCTTGGCTGCACTGAGGTAAATGCTACTTTTAATTTGTAGGAGCATACAAATAAAAGGGAATATTTAATTATATACTTTGGCTTGTAGTGGGTACTTGGCAATAAAGAATAATTTATACGTTGGAGTAAGGAGTTCTGTAAACTCAATGCAAGTGTAATTAATTTTACCTAATGTGCTGAAGTTGGTATACTTGGTGAACATTCCTAAATGAACGGTTTACTGAACCCGAAACTCGATAGCCCTTGGTCATCCAACAAAATTATCGTGTCTTAGTATAGAAGGGTACGAAAGTGTCTACCTGTATGGAGTTATTGTTTGCGGTTCGTCCCCAAGTCCCGTAGTGGGATATTTCTTGATATTAACCAAAGAAGGTGTAAGCAGTAAACAATGTCTTTTTTCAATAACTATGTACTAAGGTATCGCTCAGACTACCCGTTATAATTGACTAGCTTTTGCCCGCGACTCTGTTCGCGTGGAATAGTGACTTCCTGCACATTTTTGTATAAACCTATCCTACGTCTTTTCTTAAGTTCCAAACTATGTCTGTACCAGATTTCACAGAAATCGGTTCAGTAGTTTAGGCGTAAAGAGAAGACAGACAGAGTTACTTTTGCATTTATAATATTAGTAAGTATAGATATAGATTGTGTGTTGAATTCTACGTACATATTGCATCTCTGTCATGTTTGCCTTATTTCTGTTAAAATAATTCATCAGGAATTGTGTGCACGCATATACCAGGATGAATGTGCGAAAGATGCAAGTTGGTAAGTTTTTGCGTTACGGTATAATAAGCATGATTATGCGGGCTCGAGAGTTCGTATAATGTTCGCATTATCTACGTGTACACTTCCGAACCACTGAACAACCATTTTTGATGGCCGCGTCCCCTTATTTTCCTATCCTTGGTTGGTTGTTAGTGCTATGCTTTATTTGCTTGAATTCTGTCGTTGCTGTTCGATAGATGGAATATATTTTGGCTGTCCAAATAGTGGCGTAAAATTTCTCTTTTCTACAAGGTCTTTTATTTCCTTTGTGCATAAAGAACTTCGACAAGCACCAGTAAAAACCAGTTTCAAATTATTAAATATCTAAGCAAGAACATCAATAACAGGTTGCTCAATCAATCACGATCAGCTATTTTGATTTTATTTTCGCATACTCCCACGCTACCGTACCAGCCAATCTTAAAGGTCGGACGTATTAAATTATGAAGGAATGTAAATATTTCTTTATTGCGCACCCCTGTCTTGTCTACAGCTTGTAGGTAACAAATGATTGCCAAGTAGGTTGTTTAACCCTCCGGCCGCGGACAGGGTACGTTGGACCGAAGATTTACTGCGGATTAAGGGTCACTACATCGGTCAAGTCAAGAGTCCGCTTGTCCGCACTTAATTTGATAATATCACTGTACCCTGTGTTCGAATTGAATTATTACTTTGTAAGTGCGAGTTGACTTTTAGAAGTCATTGTAAAGTTGGCGTATTAAGAAAATTAATTGGTTTCTTTGTGATATCTTTTGCACCTTTGACAATATTATTGCAGTTACTTACTCGTCATTAGATGAAAAGTGAGAGAAATTGATTTAGACCTAGATACATATCAAGGTAGAAAACTATTAAGGTGCCGAAACTTGAAATTGGCAATTGTTAATTTAGTTCCTTCGTCAAAGTATAAAATGCTAGTCGCCGAGTGAAGAGAAATCAAAAGTCAATGCATGAGATCGATAAAAGTTTTGGCATGAATTACCTAAGTATGTTCATTTTTTCGTAGGAGTTGGATAAAATATGCCAGTATTTTAGTTTATAGATTGAAACGCTTGATTTTATATTTACAAACCTAAGTCATAAGAATAAGAAAATCAACGCGCAACCTACAACGGTAGACAAAACAGGTAGTCGTAAAGCTAAACATTTGATCCCCGACGTGTAAATGTAATGTAACAAGCAGTTGTAAACAATTTGCGGAGTTGCCGAGAGCACTCCCTCGGGCAACTTTAAATAATTAATCAAGAGCTGGTAAAGGATTAATGCGGTGGCCAGTTGGTGGTTGGATGCCATTAGAGATCGTTCGATGCCCCTGCGAGGGCCGGAGAGACTAAATGCTGCGGTCACATTATTTGCGTCGGAGGCGCGAGGTATTGAGGGTTACTACTACTTAATTGGTTTTCTTAACATGTGGATGTGACATGGGATTACTGTAAAATATTTTAATAAGCTGGATTTAATTTATAACAGGCTTACATAACGCGGCTTTTGCATGGTATAATGCAAAAACAGTTCGCTGACAGGTTATTTCTAAACATATGCTGTAGATTCTAATAAAATTATTCACACAAGCGGGAGCTGAAAGTAAACGCAAGTTTGACAATAAAGTCAGTGTACCTAAGCACAAGTTGCGTGCCACACACTGATGCTGATGATAAAGTACCAAACATTTATTTTGAATGTTGCCGCTGCAACGGAAAAGTTGCCGCGCGAGGGGTTCCCACCAAGAATTATTACGTTATGAGGTGTGAAAGGCATAAATGTAAAAATTCAATATTTCAAAAGAAAAAGCCAAAATTTTTCCACAATTTCTTGCCAGTAACAATGTCGTTTGACGCGTTATGGGGAAAAAATGGTCCGGTATGATATTGCTTTGTTTACTTGCAAGATTTAACAAAATGCACCCTCGTGTAAAGCGTTCGAGTTTTGTATGATCATCGACACTACATTAAGCGTTCCATGAATTATATATATTAGAAATAAACATAGATAATCAATATTGACGATGGCTGCTTTTAAAAGTAACTTGGATATTTTTGACAGAAAAATGATCAAATAAGTCTTGAAATGAAACAAAAGACTGTCGCCAAAGTTTATCTTCCGTCAAATAAGTGGCAAGCAATCGAGTCGGTTATCAATTTGTAGTCGAGTGTGTCAATGTCGCAACAATCGATCATGTTGCGTCGGATTTGTATTTTTCCGATTAGCCAGCTGTATCGGGGCCCTGTTTGACATTGTCGCATCAATTATAAGCGTGGATTACTCCGAGACAGATCTAAGACGGTTCAATTTCGTTTCGGTGCGGGGAAGTATGGCGGGGCTCCGTTCTCCGTGAAGGGTGATATCAGGAAGTGACTCGAGATTGCCTTATCAGAGCTTGATGAAGGCCTGATGTTACCCATTATGCACGCTTCGGAAAGATCCGCTCGTGTTTCGATGTACCTAAGCTTTTAAGATAAGTTTACTTAAACCTTTTTTTTGTAAATTCTTACTTTAGAGATTTCGAACTCCATTTTGTATTGTTGTTTTCTATGCTGCCATTTAAAAAGTTACAGCTTGATACAGAAAAAGGGCTAAAAAACTAATTTTCGGTTGATAAGCTACTTAATTATTGGTGTCTACGGCGTAGCTTGTAGCACGTAGCACGCTACGTAGGTAGTATTTGGATAATTAAAGTGTTATTCAGAAACAGGTACTCCCACCCTTTAGGAAAGTTTGTGTTCACGTTAAGTTTGTTGGAAATGTAACGAGTGTCGGATTGTGCTGGTCCCAAATCCACTTGGGTGATACAGAAGGTTATTAAAAGTTGTCGTTCAGACAGGCGGCGCGAGTTTGGAGCACTTTGACAGCCCGTCCCCGGGGAATGCGGTTCGATTCCGACGACTAGGAAATTTCATTAATCCCGTTATTAAGAAGTTACATTTTCCTAATCGTTTGTTTTAAGTTTTGAAATGGTTTTGTTTTGCTTTTCCGGCGCGTAGCTTATTTGAGTCAACATAGGCGTATTGAAATAAACATATTTTATCATCCTTTATGAACAATGGACACGATTAAAAATAAAAATAAACGCACCTCTAACCTTAAAAACAAACATAGAGCGACATTTTTCGTTGACTTATTGCGACATTTACTATCTTTATTAGCCGGCCGATGATAAACTCTACGGGAATATGCAAAGCGTTTTAAGACTGGCGGTATTTAATTGCCCTTGAAAGGGGGCGACAAAAAATAAACGATGCTCGGGTATAAATAACCGTGCACTTTTCATAATCGCAATTGTCGCCCGGAGAATATTTAGTGCGCCGTAAAACTCGGCCGATTGCGATCCTTGGGGATGCGTGGGGTAGGTTAATAGTGTAGGGGAAGACTTTTAACGAGATGCAAGTGCAAGACCTTATCGACTCCTTAAAAATGACAGGTACCCTGATGTCTTATTGGATGGGGTAGCGAAATGTTTATTAGCATCGATTTGCCGATTTGATTTGAAGTGTCAAAGTAACAATTAATGGCTTTTTCACGCTGCATGCTTACGAACTACAAGATTGATTTTGAAATTAAAACAATGCATCCGTGATTGGGAAAAAACTTAGGTCTTATGATCCAGCGTTCTGGTTTATAACGACTCCAAAAAGAGAGCTGTTTTGCTAGTTGAACAGATTAAATAAAATATTTTTACGAAAATTTCT